CAGTCATGCTCAAGAGCTCCAAGTGCCGTCTTGCCGGAGCCAACAATACGCAAATGGAGGAGATGAACGAATGCCCACTTGACCCTGGCGGTTACTTTATTATTGGTGGTACCGAGAAGGTCATTCTGATCCAGGAGCAATTGAGCAAGAACCGTATCATTGTTGAAGCGGACGAGAAGAACAACATTATTTCGGCATCGGTCACCAGTTCTACACACGAAAGAAAGTCGAAGACGTACGTTACGCTCAAGAAGGACAGAATTCTCCTCTCACACAACGTCCTGGTGGAAGGTATCCCGATTGTAATCATTCTGAAGGCTCTAGGAGGATTGTCAGATATGGAAATCATGCAGCTTGTTGCTGGATCAGATGGAAGATACCAGGATGAATTTCTGGTAAACTTTGACGAGGCGACAAAGGCTGGCGTTTTCACTCAGCACCAAGCGCTGGAGTATATTGGAGCCAAGGTAAAGATGGGTTCTCGCAGAGGGACATTCGGTCCTCAAGTGCGCCGTAACCATGTCGAAGAAGGCCTCGATGCCCTGGCCAACCTGGTCATTGCCCATGTCCCCATTGAGGGACTGGATTTCTACCCTAAGGCTATCTATGTGGCTCAGATGACTCGAAGGGTCCTCATTGCCGCCCACAACCCCAAGTTGGTCGACGACAGAGATTTCGTGGGCAACAAGCGACTTGAGCTGGCTGGTCAACTTCTCTCACTTCTTTTCGAAGATTTATTCAAGCAGTTCACATCCGGAGTCAAGTTGTCGATCGATAAGTTCCTGAAGAAAAACAACAGGGCAGTTCCCCTCGACGCAGTCCATATGATTAGCAACCACGCCAACAATATCGGATATGGAATCAACCGAGCCATTCAGACTGGAAACTGGACCGTTAAGCGATTTAATATGAACCGAGCAGGAGTCACTCACGTTCTCAGTCGGCTTAGTTACATTGCGGCTCTTGGCATGATGACCAGAATCAGCAGTCAGTTCGAAAAGACCCGAAAGGTGTCTGGTCCTCGTGCGCTTCAACCATCACAGTGGGGTATGCTTTGTACATCAGATACACCTGAAGGTGAAGCCTGTGGTCTGGTGAAGAACTTGGCTTTGATGACCCATATTACCACCAACGTCGACGAAGAACCTGTCAAACGATGGATCTTTACACTAGATGCTGGTGTTGAGCCTATCCGCAATTTCTCAGGTGCTGAGATGCATCGAGAGGGAAGCTATATCATTCATATAAACGGTACACCGTTCGCATTGACTCGATACCCGAAGCGATTTGCGCAAAAGTTCAGAACTATGCGACGAAGAGGCTGGATCTCTCCCTTTGTGGGTATAAATATCAACACACACTTCAATGCCGTTCATATTGCCACTGATGAGGGTCGTATATGTCGACCTTACATCATCGTTAAGAATGGTAAGCAGAAGCTCAAGCCTGAGCATCTGCGATTACTTCAGATGGGCAAAGCCACATTCGACGACTTTCTGAACCGCGGAATCGTGGAATATCTCGATGTCAATGAAGAGAACGATGCCCTCATTACCATATATGAAGACCAAGTGACACAGAGTACCACTCACTTGGAAATCGAACCGTTTACAGTCCTGGGAGCTGTCGCAGGATTGATTCCCTTCCCCCACCACAACCAATCTCCTCGTAACACTTACCAATGTGCTATGGGTAAACAAGCCATTGGTGCAATCGCATACAACCAGTTTAACCGTATCGATACTCTTCTGTATACACTCGTATACCCCCAACGGCCCATGGTTATCTCAAAGACCATTCAACTTATCGGTTACGACAAGCTCCCTGCAGGACAAAATGCCACCGTGGTGGTCATGTCATACTCAGGATACGATATTGAAGATGCTTTGGTTCTGAACAAAGCATCGATTGATAGAGGATTTGGTCGTTGTCAGGTCTTCAGAAAGTACACGACGGAACTGCAGAAGTACCCCAATGGACGCAGGGAGCGTATTGGAGACCCCGAGAACGAGGGCGATGGCAAGATTAAGCGCCGGATCGCTAAGCATGAGGCATTGGATGACGATGGTCTTGCAATCGTTGGTTATAAGGTGAACAGCGGTGAAGCTATGGTCAAGAAGGAGACACCACTTGACCAGACAAGCACTGGTATTGGACTGGACCGTGGACCTGGTGAGTTCCGTGACTCGTCAGTCTCGTACCGAATCGCGGATCCCGCATATATCGACAAGGTCATGATTTCTCAAACGGAGAAGGATACCACAGTGATCAAGGTCCAGACAAGACAGACTAGACGCCCTGAGCTGGGTGACAAGTTCTCGTCTCGTCACGGTCAAAAGGGTGTCGTTGGTATTATTGTTGAGCAAGAGGATTTGCCCTTCTCTGACAGTGGATTGAGCCCCGATATTATCATGAACCCCCACGGTTTCCCCTCTCGAATGACAGTCGGCAAGTTACTCGAGTGTCTTACGGGCAAGGCTTCTATCGTCCATGGTCGTCCTGACTATGGCTTTGGAGATGCTTTCCGTTCTCACCCATTGGAGGAGATGAGTCAGGTGCTTGTAGACCATGGATTCTCATGGGAGGGCAAGGACTACTTCACTTCGGGTATTACGGGAGAGCCCCTGGAGGCGTACGTTTTCAACGGACCTATCTACTACCAGCGACTTAAGCACATGGTGCAAGACAAGATGCACTCTCGATCTCGAGGTCCTCGAGCCATCCTCACACGTCAACCTACGGAAGGTCGTTCACGAGATGGTGGTCTGCGTCTGGGAGAAATGGAACGTGATTGTCTGATCGCCTACGGTGCTTCTCAGCTTCTGCTGGAGCGACTCATGATCAGCTCGGATGGTACTGAGATTGACATTTGCCAGCAATGTGGTCTGTTTGGATACAAGGGTTACTGCCACACATGCAAGAGTACAAGGGAGGTTACCAAGATGACGATGCCCTATGCAGCGAAGCTGCTTGTACAGGAGCTCATCAGTATGAATGTTGGAGTACGACTCCAGATGGATGACGAGTTTCCTCATCCCAGGTAATTAGGGTTAAATGATGGATATGCATAGAATGGAGTTTTGGAACTTGTATACCTTACATATAACATAGTCATTTATGAGGTGGTTAGGTAGTCTAGAGGTATTATTTTGGTTGTTTCAAGTTTCTATCTATGCGCGTATCTACGTAAGTTTTAGCCTGTCGTGACTTTGATAATGCAACTTTTGCTAAGAGTTGATACACAACTTAATATACGCTCTTACTTCCACGCTTATTATTGTTTCTTCGACTTTTGAATCTTGATGGACTTTAATCCTCCCATGGTAACTTCGAACTCGACCGCCCCGTCTAAGCCTTGACCCGTTGGGGGTGCATGAGGCGCAAATACAACTTTCATCCATCTCCGCCATCCTCTGAGTGTGGGTGCTGCCAAGTCAGAGTCGTCCTCTGCTGTTATTGGCGCAGCCTGTCTTATACGGCCATAGACAGGACGCTTGAATAGTGCAATACGACAAGCAATCTGCGTTGACCATACGAGACCCAAACTTGGAGTCTTAAGTGAATAAGAAGCGTGAGGGTCATCACCCCAGCCTGTAAACCATCGCTGTTGATGATCAAGCATCAAAGCAGGTGGAGGTGGAGGACCATCAGGATCTTGTAAAGCAAAGGGTAACGATGATGAAGGCGTGACAGGGAGGTTTGTAGATGAAGGAGGAGGCATGCTTCTCGAAGCGAGGGGACTCTCATAAGCGACGCCACTGCTTCTAGGAGGTGCATGCCGTGATGTAGAGCTGGATGCGAAGCGATCAGCGACTTGGTTGGCTACGACAACAGCGAGGTTATGCCGTCGAGCTAGATCGCGGAGAAGAGCACCGAGACGAACGAGTTCAGCACTTCGAGCGGCCATGTTAGAGCCGTGAGAACCCTGACGCTCAAATTCAGCACGATAGTTGGCGGCCACTGAGTCGAGAATGATGAGGCCAATTTTGTGACGGGATAAAAGAACGGGAACTTGAAAGTCGAGGATGTGATCCTGTGTTTCAAGATCTGGAGTAACTGCGCTGTGAATAGCATCAAGTGAAGGGCGAGTTTCAGGGTCATCGTATTGTTGTAGAATCGGATTTGAGTTGAGCATCTGGGCAAGACGGCTTGTGGCGAGAGCTGCCTCAGTTGAGATATAGAGAGCTTCACGGCCTAGACCATGAGGTGGAGGAAGTTGAACAGCAAGGCATAGTGATAGGAGAGCTTGAGTCTTTCCAGCACCGCTTTCACCAGTGATTTCCGTTATCACGCCAACAGGCACGCCGCCTCCTAATGCAGCATCAAGACCCTCGTCAAGAGTACTGATGACTTTGGGTTCTTCAGCTGGTTGCAGGAGAGGTTGTTGTGGGCTGAGATCATCAGAGAGAGAAGCTTGTATAGCAGCTATAAGACGTTTGAGATCGAGGATGGGGAGGCGTGTCTGCTTTGCTATGTCTGCGGGATGAAGTGTGAGAAGATCTGTTGTTGTGAGAGCATGTTGCTCAATTGTTGGTATTAGAGCTGCAAAAGGGCGGAGGGGAAAGGAGGGGAGGATTTGGAGAAGGTCTGTCATGAGGACGGCTGAAGAGACATGGATGGTTGTGTGTGAGAGTGAAGTGAAAGTAAGGGTCTAAGTGAGAGGTGAAGATGTGAATAAAGGAGTGGATTTGGTGTTGACAATCAAAGTGTATCTCTCTTTCTGGTAAATCAATATCAAGTTTTATAAGAAGAGTAAAACTCTTTGCTCTTACAAACGCTATTATTCTCTTGTTGCGCTGGTTCAGTGGATTTCTATCAAGATAGTTGAGGTTTTGCACTTCACGCATTAAGTGAATGAGATAGACGCGGTTAGATACATGACGCGCTTAAGTGGATTGGCTGGAAAAGCCACAATACGAACGCCACAGCATAGTGAGAAGAGCCCACTGAATTTTCTGGGCAATTTACTGACTGAAAAGAGTGCAATAGTAAGGAATTTACGGATACTGGTCTTGAATTTAATTCAGCAGACACTATAGCACTAGGCTTGGGAAATAATTCTCATGCTCAAACACCAAGACATTGCCAAAGTGGGTTCAGACAACTCCACCAGTGCAAACATAATTTTCAACACATCAAGGGCAGTCATAGGTTCAGATTCTTGTTACCAAAACAGTCCAGGCAAATTCAATACTGTTAGAAACAATCCAGTCAACGTTATATAAACGCATTGTTTGCTTCAAAACATCTCACAAATCACGGCACATGACCAATCACAAATCGGTAGGCAAAATTTCGGGAAACCATATTCTTAATCTTGATCATGAAATTGGAATTGCTTTTGATTCCATTTTTTGTGCTACCAAATAAGGTTCCCGACTCCCCAGAGTCCAAGTATGCAGTGCCAAAACCAGACCCTCCCAAATCGCATGTACAACCGAACAGCCGCGTTGCGAATAACAAAGCCAGCTCCTCCCGAAGCATGGGGCGAGCTGTTTATCGGTATCGCCACAGGGACAGGGTGTTGTGGCGCTTCCAGGTCTTTCTGCGGCCAGCCTGGGTCTTGTTGTAGCGGTGGCCCTTGTTGAGACCACGGGACTTCTTTCCGGTGGCGGTGAGACCACGAGCCTCGCGGTGCTTGTGGACGGGGTTGACGATCCAGTTGATGCGGGGGTCGATGCGGATGGCCTTGTGCTGGGGGTCGACGAGGATGACCTCGTAGTACTTGTAGGTAGAGTCCTGGTTGATCCAGTAGGAGTTGAGGACTCGGAGGTTAGCGCAGCGGCGGCCAACACGCTCCTCGGCGGTAGCCTTGAGGGATCGCTGGTACTTCAGCTGGTTGATACCCTGGTTGGTGGGCTTGCCTGTTGGGTCTGTGTTAGATACTGACATCCCTCTGTTCTCGAGAGAAAAAACCTACCATAGGTGGCACCCTTAGGAGCAGGGCGCTTGCGGCCACCACGGCGGACACGGACACGGTAGATAACATAGCCCTGCTTGGCCTTGTATCCGAGACGGCGAGCCTTGTCCAGACGGGATGGGCGAGAGGCGCGGTGGATGACGTTCAATTGACGGAGCTATATTGATGCACTCTCAGCAAATGTTCAACGAGTGTATAGCACAGACGGCGGTCAAGAAACAACCTGCTTCGTCTCGAGTTCTCTTTCATCGGTGTGCAAGCGTACACAGTTTGTGTTGATTTCGTCGTCGAGAATTTTCTCCCCAGTGCGGAGTATTCAGAACTCGCACAAAAAATCGACCGCTTCGGACAATTCGAGATGAGAACAAGAGAGCGAGAACAGGTTGAATCCGCCGTCCACATGGGAAATTGATGTTTGTGCTTGTGCATATTTTTGGTGGTTTAACGTACTTCCCAGCAGCGAACTCGGAGGAGGAAGGCAACGACATCCGACTGCTTCTTCTTCTGAAGCTCTTCGACGTACTTGAGGGCACCCATCTTGGCTGTTTATCGGAAAGACGATAGAGGTTAGCGAGAGGTAATGACGAAAAACAGAGGCTTGCAAGAGGAGAAGAAAGGGAGTCTTGAGAGGAGAGGGGATTTCACATACCGGCTTGGTCGAGGTCCTGGTGGTTAGTAGGAGGTCGAAGATTTTCAGAAAAGAGAAAGAACCACCGATATCCAAGTTTCCGTGGGAAAATTGTGGCCTGTGGGTTAAGCGATGCGCTAGCCCTCACACTTTTTGCAGCTGACTCAGCGAGGGCTGCCTCGAAATGGAACATCCTGATATGGTCTGTGCGCAGTCACGTGCCCTCATCTGCAACGACTTGGTAGTGACAGGGGTATGAGATCAGCAATTGGGAGACTTGAATTGAAGACATGTCTTCAATGAACTGTAATACTACTCGATTCGTTCAATATCGTTTATGCTTCATTCTCAGAGACAGACACTCATATAATCTCCCATGACCCATTGCAATTGACCCATCAATGTCGTAAAATCATTCTTCGACTTCAGCTGGTCGCGCTTTCAAGACCTCAGTAAACGCCTTCAGATGACCCTGTGCAATCTTTCCCCATATGTCATCAGACATCTTTGGTAGAACCTCCTCAATCAGATCCCATGCTACATGCTCAACTCCGCCAGCGCTCTCAGAAGGCTTGGGAGGAAGTTCGTGTAAATCTGGCATAATAAAATGATTGATGATCTTTGAAGCCATAGCAAGACCGTGCTTGCTCACATCCTCCAGGTCTTTGGTGTCTTGTTCCCAGCGCATCCAGTTGGGTGCCCTGATCTTGTTGTCTTGTTTGACCAGGTCTTCGTAAGTCTTAACATCACTCTGCAAAGCGTCGAGAGCTTTGAGTATCATCTTTGGGTAAGTTTGGGTGCTCTGTCTCTGGAGAGCCGACGAAGAACTCATCCAGGGAAGAACGGTTACAAGATCATGAGAAATATCTTTCTTCAACACATCGACGCCAATTCGAGGGCTGCTGGTATTAGAAAATTGGATCGAGTGAGATACTGATAATCACATACATTCGTGTATACATCTCCTTATCGACGAACTCCATAAAATCGACACCGTGCTTCTCGATTCGGTTCTTGGCTTCAACATAAAACACCTTTCGCTTCTTGTTGGAAGAAGCGTTCGTTGCCCGCATGGAATTTTTGTCTTTGCGTTGATTTGCTCCCCTTGCACCTGATTTCCTTACAGCCCTGGTTGTTTTCCTCGGAGCTGCATAGTCGGTACCATTGCTCTCTGACGAGTTTTTAGCCTGTGTAAGTGAACGTGTGATTGTGTCGCAACTCACCCGTAGCAGATGCCTTTCTCTTTCGTGTTCGCGGGGGCATAGCAAGATGATGGAGTGCTTCCGTCGAGAGGTGACGAAGTGCGTGGAATGAATGATGAAGAATTTGGCCTCATCTGGAGCAGAGTCTTCTTTGGCTACGAGTCAACTAAGTTCAAGGCAGGAAGAATCCGAGCCTGCGTGGAGAGGAAGGTACAGGTGAAATCGTTGATGCAAGAATGGGAAGGTACTTTGGGCCCTCCTCAAGTTTGGCAAGAACCTGATCTGCTTCAACTACCGATTAAAGCATATTCTCAGCACATTTCATGAATCTCCAGCTTCACTTCAGGTCACGTCGGGATAATGTATAAGCAAACCTTGAGCTCAAATTTAATCTATCACATAGTCTCATTTTCGTGCCTCGAGCCAAAGAGCCCCTTAGAAACAAACCCAATTACCTGCACGAATAAGCAAATGAATAAATCAAGTCTTTGTCATACATGATTCCGGCTATATCTCCCAAATGTGCCCCCTTTTTTTACTGCGTATTAGTTACAGCGTTAGATGCGAAGTCCTCGGGTCTTTCTGTCTATAATCTCAGCCTGTAAAAGAAAAATCCATGCCATCGAATGCCATCTTGTCTTCCCTCCCTACTCCCCGTTGTCGTGAAATCGGCCGTTGGATCATGGATCCTGAACAAAGCGTTGGCGATATGGAATTCGAAAAGCAGCTATTGAACAATCTCTTAATACTCGAGTGTCGAATGAGAATTGCCGATTAACGCCAAAAAAAAAAAAAAAAAAAAAAGCATGTAAACGAAACGGCGGAATCATTACAAAGAATGAGAAACGAAAAACGAAAACACAATACCACTTAACCGCACCGTAAGCCCAACGAGGGCTGGTTCTGAATATGTCAGTCCATATCGTCAACTCCATCAACTAATGCCAGCAGTTTCTCTTTCATGAAACAACGTCTGCTGTGCCTGCCTCGACGTAAACGAGTGTACTGAGATAAACTTCTCATGGTCGCCAAACGTATGTGACAACACACATTAATGAGTGTTGAGAGACAAGCCCTGGAAAGATCCAACCCAGTCATTCTGGGGAGCCAGAGGTGAAGTGGCTTGAGAGTGAGGCGCCGGGCTAGGGCCAGACTGTGGGTTGGGGAACCGCTGGCGCATCGACGTGTATTCCCCAAGCTGGGGGACTCCAACGGGGTAGCCCTCCATAGCGCCGGGCATAGCACCAGCACCAGCACCGTAGCCAACATTGCTGCGAGGGTTGCTATAAGGGTTGGCGAACTGCCCATAAGGGTAGTTGGAAGGAGGGTATCCAGATGGTTGCGCGAGGCGGCCCTCATTGCCAAAGGGCTGGTTGAAAGTTGGAGTAGGGCGGAATCCGCGGCCATCTCTGGCTCCAGCGGTAAAAGCAGACGCTTGATGAGGCTCTTGGACCTGCTGGTTCTGGCGTCTGTCATTACCAGCCGCACCACGGTTTGCGTTCACTGCTCCGGGGCCGATGCCGCTAGGAGCCTGAATGCCAAGAGTTGGGCTAGCGAATGAGGCTGGGTTGATAGCAGACATCCAGATTCGAGTCTTGTAGATCTTGAACAAGTCGGTAACGAGAGAGTTGAAGTTGATGTACGAATCGGCAAAGTAATAGAAGGTCAACTTCTTCCAATCCCTAACAGAGAGGTTAGTCAGGTCCTGTTGATAAGTGGTAAAGATACTCACATCTGGAACTCGGCGTCGAGAATCTCCATATTGAGAGCGTGCTCCTTGACCTTTTGCATACAAACACGCTTCGCCTTCGCCTCTTGACCTTCCTTGTCCCGCAGGGCTTGGATCTCGTGGTTCTGGGCAAGACGTTTGATGAGCTTGGGTCGAAGTTCGCCGGCGTTGGGCTCCTGCGCATGATGCTGGCTCGGGGGTCCCATGCCTCCAACCGCACTTCCCTGAAGGCCGGTGGAGGAGGCAAGAAGACCTGCGCTAGAACCCTCCTGTGCGACGGCAGCATTTTGTGAGTACATCATCAGCCACTTGTACTGTTCTTCAGCATAGTGTTCCTTGAGGTCTTTAGCAGTCTGCCAGTCAACGTTATCCTTAGCAACGGTTCCAAGGTCAGTGCCGCGATCAGCCTCGACTATCACCAGATCACCTGGCTTGACATTAAGACCAGTGCCCTCTTGGATGTAGAACACGTCAGCTCGAGCGCACTTGAACAACACAATGTGGAGAAGCTGGTTGTGACGAGGCTGAGCGATGCTGTAAACATTACGATGGGGAGATGGTGCGCGATTCCCGTACGCGTTGGGCAATCCATAAGGAGACCCATATTGATTGGCAAATCCAGTCTGGTACGCATTTCCGATGTTGGCACCTCCGCCAACTCCAAAGTACTGGCTTGCTGTTTGAATGCGTTAACAAATGATCAAATAAAGAACATGAATTTTGCGCTTAGCTTACCATGAGAAGAAGCACTAAAGGCGGCAGGGTCGGGGTACCCTGGGGGAAACTCTTGAGATTGCTGCATATCGAGTGCAGAAGGCTCGAGTGCGGCCGCGTCGGGAATAGAGCTGATAGAACCTTGGCGAGTAGGCATGTTGGCAAAGGAATGTCGCCTGCTTTGAGAAATGTCAGAAGGAGAAAATGCAAGTGAGCTTGACCAGAGCGCTTTCTTGAGGTTGGCGTTTTCAGGTTTGCGATTGTTCTCAAACGGAGAGCGTAAGGGCCCCGCTCCGTACTCGCTCATGCGTCTGCTCAGCGCCCGTTTAGCCAACATATCGCCAGATTCGTTTGCTTCATCGAGCTCATCAATAGCATAATCGGATTCCTCAGGAACAGTGTCTCGTATTGGGTAGCCGTTTGCAGGATAGGAGGAGCCGGTGACTGCGCGGGGTCGAATACGGGTATTGTTATACTGCGTTTGCTGGTGTTGTTGTTGTTGTTGTTGCTGCTGCTGCTGCTGTTGCTGGCGCAGCATAGCGTTTTCACGAGCCAACATTTCAATTGTTTTCGCATCCGATTGATGAAATGAGTTTTGCATTGATTCACTTGGGCTTTCATCGTCGTCATCCTCGACTTCCTTGACTTTTCCAAGCATCGAGCCGTCGTTGGCCATTTCACTTAGCATGCTGGGTCGAGAAGGTCGATGTTGAAGCGCGGGATAGCGAGCGCGACCCATGATGGCGGAAGAGCTCATCGAAGGCGGAGCGGTTGTTGACTCAGGATCCAGTTGCCCAACAGAGTATGACTGAGACCGGTATGTTTTAGGAGTGGGATGGAGCGGAATAGCGAAAGGTATTTGCGAGTTAGGCGCAGGATCGCGCGAGACCGGAGACGTCTGCATCTCTGAGTTAAAGAAAGAGTTGCCACCGCCCGGGGGTATGGTCGATGTGGGAGAAGGCAAAACCTCGCTGAGCCTCGATGGAGGATCTTTGCGTTCCGCGTTCCAGATAGCTGTACCCCATGAGAAGCCAGCTGCGCCAGACCCCCGGCCCATCACAGATGAAGCTGAGTGAGATCCCCACGCCCCACCAGTCTCCCCAGAGGGCGTACTGGGATGAGAAGTAGTTGGAGACATCGAGTTACTAGCGATAGATCCCCTACGGGGACGGCCCAGGGTTTGAGAAGTCTCGTTTAACCACGAAGGTCGTCGGACAGGTTTAGGAGGTTGCGACGCAGAATGTGATGTTGCTGATGCAGACTCGTATCGGTGCTCGCCTTCGTCGTCCGAACTAGCAAGAGCCTCTGAATCTGGCGTAGATGTCCTCGCATGCAGCTTTTCGAGGAGCAGTGACTGGTTGTTACCGGGGGCCGTAGGATGAGATCCTTGGCCTAGTCTGGAAGACGGGCCTGTCTTGAGCGGACCAGAACTCATTATCCAGGAGAGACACTACTTGGTTTCTTTCAATCTAAACTTTACAAGGCAGCTGATTGATAATGCCTTGTTGATGAAAGTTTTAGTCTTTTATCTGTGGTACGTGAACCGGCTAGCACAAGCTGTCGTGTTTCGGATAACGGATAATAAACAGAGTTGGGGGGTGAAATAAAATGTAGGCTGTAAAGGATCTTTTAAGAATGAATAGAATCGAAACTGCAAATGGCTGGTTAGCTGACTGGTCTCATGATGAACAATGAATGATATTGTTTGAGAACAGAAACTCAGTGGCCCCGCGACACCTCAGCCATATTGGGAAATGTGACAAGAGTCGCGGCAAACAAGTCTATGAATGGAGACTCGATAAATGAAGCAAAATATTTGTCAAAGCATAACCAAGACTCGCCGCAGATGCAACTGTTGGACTTACCAGAGATGAGATCTCAAGGATATCTAAAGACTATGTCGTCACACGTGCCAAATTCTAAGTCGTAAAAGCAGACGAAACGTAAGAAAAGAACGCTGATGCTGTAATCAGTGTCGAAGAGATGTGGCTCTGTGAAGTGGCAACTCTGATCTTATCGCAAATGTCAAATCGCGATAGCAGAAGTCGTTGAGGCGTGAGCCAGTGGTTGATTAGTGTGAGTGAATACGACAGAATATCTAAATACCAGCGCGTCTAACCCAAGGCGCAAATAGAAGATTCAGGTTGTCGGATAAGAGTAAAGGAGAATGGGTGCCCATTCATAAGAGGACCTTGTTGAGAGACTGATATGGGCAGACGAAGATGTCTAGTGCTGTAGCGACGAAGGAGACTTAATCGTGGCCCATTGTCAGTGAAAGGCTCGAAAGCAGGCGGCGCGAAATCCGACACCAAGAGATAGACGCGGGGTTGCTGCTACACTTGGAGCGGCAACAAAGGCGAGAGAGACGGGCGGCGGTGGCAAATAGTCAGTGATCAGAAGGCCTATCTCCCAAATTTCGAATATCAATCTGCAAAGACCACAAAAGCGTCAACGACGATGTGGTGAACAGGCAGGCGAAAAGTGGTTGATCGCGAATAACGTCGTCGGGCACACGGTGTGCAAGTCGAAAGAGGAGGACGGAGAGAGTTTGCGAATTGCAGTCGGAAGGCGGGGAGGACAGCGGCGCGCTGCAGAAAGAGATGATATTGACAAAGAAAGGCAAGCGGAGGGAAAGCTTGGCAGGAGGAAGTGTGTTGCGTGTCGCGGAGCAGCGTTGCAATGTGCCGTATTGTGTCGCGAACCGTTTGCTGCTTGTCGTGGCTGCTACTTCTGTTGGGTTTTGCGATGCAATGCGCCGAGTGTTCAGGTTGTGTCGAGATGCGGTTACCACACGAGACCAGGTTCTAAGTGGTGCTGAAGAGAGTCGCGGGCGGTATGAACCTCCAACTAATACTGCCGTTCCTCTGCGGGTACCAGGGTGGCGCGGGAGCTTTCAATGGGGAAAGCTAGTGGGCGGCGCAGCAGGGGAGGGGGTCCTAGGTGTAAGCGCACCGTCGCGAATTGTTGACTTGAGAGGGGGGAGATTGATCTCGAGTCGACACAATGCTTTATGATGAATAAATGGGAAAAGGGACCAGAACAGACAGACCCGATGAGTAGAGTAAGAGGGTGGAGCGAACAGAGAGTTGTGGAGAGTCCCGAAGTGGAGAGAGCCTCAGAACGAGAGGGACCTGGTAGCCTGGACAAGAACGCAGAGATCCGAATGGAACACTGAGAGGAGTGATGTGATCTTCTGATCAGGGGACTCAGACCGGGAGTGGTAGACTGGACTGGCTGAGGGGTAGACGAGGCAGGAGACTCTATGTCCCTAGTTCATTTGCCAGCCAAACCTGGAGAACGATGCGTTAGCGAAAGCCCTAGAGCAAGGTACCGATACCTTTGGCGAGGTGACGAGCCAGCCCAGAGCTTGCTTGCGGAAAGCTTGGGAATTTTGGTGGCTCGAGCACCGCGACGGGAGCTCTGCTTGGCTTTGAGGAGCGCAAGCGCCACACGGTAAAGGAAGAGCGATGGCATACCTGCACAAATGAAAAAGGAGAGTACCTAAGAAGAAATTTGAACCAGAGCACGCCGCTTGGTGAGTCGATTTGAGGCGCGTCTCAGACTCTATGTGTTGGAAGTAAGGTGAGGTAGGCTAAGTAAGGTACCTAGCTGTGTTGATGGAGGTCTCAGAAAGCAGCGGGGACCCAACGTTGATCTGGGGAGAGCTACTAGCTCGGGTCGGTAGCTGGGCGATTTAGTTTTTGTCGCCTCGGCAGCCCGGTAGGGTAGAAGAGTCGACGCTAGAAAACTTGACCCGTAGAGCATACGATGACCACGATGACCACGATGCTCTGCTCTGCTCTGCAGGCTAGGCTAGAGACGAGAGACAAAGGGATGTAATTTGATGAGGGGATCGGAGTGTTGATATGCTTTTCCCTTGTGGTAGAAGAGGGGGGGTTGATTAGAAAAGATGGTGTCGGCCAAGTGATGTTGAATGGTGATACTTTAACGTGGTGGTCATGGTGCTATGGATGTGAAAGCTGGGGGTGATGGAGCCTAAGGCAATGCTAGAAAAAAAGCGGGCACTTCCAATTCAAGAATGAATGCGGAGGCCAGAGAAAGAGAGACTCTAGGCCAGGCCAGGCCTTGTTCTCTGGCTTTGGCTTTTGGCTTAGGCTTGCGTAGGTAGGCTTGCGTTTAGGCTGGGGTAATGGGGGCCTTAGGACACTGGCGGATTGGCAGGAACATGCAAATCATCCAATCAATGTTTTTGGGTTACCTCGACTCTACTGTCACGGTGGGCTAATCCTGCCTACCTTCATCGTCTACAGTATGGAGTATCGTGAAGGTTCACCTCCGTCATAAGGTTGAGAGGGGGGAAATAAGTCGGGCCTAGACTTTGCAGTACTGTACGGAATTTATGGTAGCTGGTTACGGTGTGCCCTCCATCAAATCTTAGGTTTCTATCATCTCCTCCACCAAGACCGGACAATAATTGGACCCTGAAAAAAGGAAATCAGATGTTATTCTGTCCGGCATATTATCTCAAAAGAAGCAAGTATAGAAGACCCCTGTTTATTAGAGACAAGCTACCTAAGTAGGTAGACATCCATTGAGTAATTCGATAGGTCAGAATTGCTCCTGAATGTCCGTGAGCTTTAACCGTTGAAGTAGGCCAGCGTCAGACCATTGGATTGGACCCAAGCCAACTCACGGCAATCGTCGATGAAGTGCTCCTTATTTTCCGTATGTAGGTGACTTTGAAGTCGGCAAGCTCGTGATGCAGAGTGTCAATGGGGGCTGGGACTTGCAGAGAAGAGAGACTTGGGTTTGTTGCATGCATCAACTGGATGCGCATAGGAAGCGCCTCTGACGTGATGTTGTTGAATAACCCGCACTCACACCAGAGTTGGAGTCTAGAGACCAAGAACGGGACTCGGTTTGGTGGATAACTAACCGAGAATCAAATGCTGGTCTGTTTAGCTCATCTATCGTTCATATGGATCTCGAGGTCCATCTCGATGAGACGATCGAAACTGCCGAGTACAGTCCCTCATCACGATACTTGACTTCATTCAACTAACAGACAAGACAGACTCAAAGGACAAAGGATGGCTGGTGGTGTGCATGTCCCTTGTACTTACAGGGCTTGGGTCCAAGTTAGACGCAGTTACAGTGAAAGCGGATTGGCCGCTCCACACTCGGAATCGATATGCTAACGCAGATGAAGCTTCATCGGCCCCACCGACGTATCCCCGACCAACCGAAGGCTGATATATCAGAACATCCATGGATCACATCAGGTGAATCGGTAACAGAAGAGGCATGAACGAATAAACAGGTTCAAGGTTGCAATGGGTTCTTTACATGATACGAGAGCTGCAATATTTGTAGCATATGGAAGGAGAATACCTGAATACATAGATGACTCTTTGTCATACCCTGGGCCAACAGCAATTACATAGGATGTAATTGATGTAAGCCCCGCTCAACAGGTCCAATGAGGATGCCCTCGACAATGGAGGATGTCTTTGTATTGAATTTCTTCCACTGACAAGCTGCAGCGTCATCGTGTGTCGTAGCTCAACTGACCCAACTCCCCTCGTGACCTTGCTTACTAGGACCCGTTGGTAACACGATCCAAGGGACTCGCGGATCAAGATCGACTCCGCTTAACTTAGCCTTTGACTCCGCTTTTTAGCTCTGTAGTAATTCAAGCTTTCTTACTTGCTGGTGCTCACGTCACTTTCCGAACCTCAAGAACTGCTTTTACTCTGCTATGATGATCAACAGAGCTTGTGAGGCCTAAGAATTGAAGATACAGTCTACGCACTGAGTATCATGCTAAGCTAGAACTACAGTGTATTGGTGTCTTTCTTCACCGTTGAATATCTCCGAGGACAGCCTAACCAGAATTGACCTTATCCTTAGGGAGTAAGAGTACTTAGGATAGAGATCCTAAGTGACAAAAAGATTTAGGTAAATTTAGTATAGGCCTGGTGGGCCTTTAGATTAGCCTTTTTTGGCACCTTAGCTCAAGGCCAGGAGTTTTCTTGGCTCCCAGCTTACCTATGTTGATTCACAAGCCAATGTCCAGATATTGCCCTTTCTTCCAAGATATCATACAGAAGTTGTGGCCAGGCTATGTACTCATCTGCAAGAGACGAGATGCAGAATCAGTTCTTATACGACACCAAGGAGATGTATCATGCAGCCCGTTTCCACCAAGTGTCGATCCTCACGATCAACAACACTCGATTCTCATTCGTCCTTATGGCCCGAATTTGTGTCAGGTTCATTGTGCATCTCATCGTATGTTGATCATGATGTTCCCAATTTAAATGTCTTAAAGCACATCATTGTTGTTACAGTACAGTAGTCCTCACGGGTGGATGATTAAAAGTGAGATCACTGCTAAGAAGGCTGCCTGATCATAAAATAGTTCAGAGTTTCAGACTTAGAAAACCTAACCCCGAGAGATGTCTCACTCCACTCCCCTACCTAAGTCATAATCGATGTTGCTACGACAGTAAGGGCCGATGTCGGTCCATTCGTGATTGATTCTTAACCACAACCTCCACGCTGTTTTCGACCTTTATAGGAGTATTCGCACATGAAATATTTCGCTGAAATGGAATATGATGCGTGAATCTGCTGAGTCGCTGTCAAGGATTTCTCCACGGTGCGGTTGTCTTAAACTTCTGCCGCTTCGACTATCCCAGTATCTCAATCAGGGCACAATATACTTAGTCGGGACTGTCGTTTAGTTCTACCTGGCTCTCACTGAGATATGCATTGTTTAGTAGATAAATAAAGTCTCTTTGGGGGCAGAGAACCAAGTTAATTGCAGAAACTTTGTTTGAAAAGAATTCCTTCGATATAAGCCAGGCTTGGCCCCTGTTACCAAGTGACGATAACTTTAAGATCATATCTCGATGACAAGAACCAGTCCGTTCCTTCTCCACTGCAACTTGCTGCTGTATTTCACTCAATTGGGTCTTTCGGACTTCACCAACAACCCGATTGCATATTGTAGTGAATAGTACTCGAAGCATCAGTGAGTAAGTGAACTTTGTAAGATGGGGATGCCGTTTGCGGAAATGGTCAAGATCCACCCATACGAGCCCTGGAGAGACAAGCTTTGACACAGAGTAGGGTTTTCCTAGATATTATCAGTAATTTTAAGATGTGTGTCACGGCTTCCAAATCAATGCATATTCGAAATGCTACTCTGGTTTAATAAATCATATGATATTCGTTTCAGATCCTGCCTGATATGTGACAATTGTAGTTGATGCTTCTCATGATTCTTCCAAGCCAGCCCATCTAAATCATTTCTCCTTCAGTTGTATAACAATCTCCTTAGGACACAAGGTTGGGTCTCCTGTATATCATCAAGCCCAGGATGACAACCACGTGCTTAAGCATCAATGTATTGTTGAAAGAAAGAATCGAGAAATGAATGTGGGTTGTGATAGACTGTATGCGTTTTCTGACAGAAGTTTGCGTATGAAATCCATGGAGTGAAGGAACAAGGGTCGGATTCTCTCTAGTTGCTTATGATGCGGTCGTTTAGATAAAGACTGTGTATGTTAGTATGCAGTGGTGTGTTCGTAACGTCGTTATGTTTGAGTGAGTGTGTGAGTCGAGGCGATGGAGTCTTATTCTCCAACCGAGATGACTACATCGCCCTTGCATTTGCCATATGAACAGCATTCGGATGCGTCCATGTCGCCTTTAAGAATAGCATCGACTTTAGACTGGAACAACTGTTAGCATAGATGATGCCTTCACAGAAAATGGGCACTTACTTGAGGGCACGGCCCATTTGGTGAGATAGAAGAGGTTGGAATAGGTGATGCCATAACCAGGGCAGCAGAAGCAGCGAGAACGAGAGTGTACCGCTTCATGATGAGTTTATAAGGAAAAGTCGGTAAACGAGAGGGACTACTAGAGTCGAGTAAAACGAACGTGTTTGGTGAAAGAGTGGCTGAAGAACGAATGACAATAGTTTGAATAGAGAGAGAGAGAGAGAGAGAGTGTGTGTGTGTGTGTGTGTGTGTGTTGAGGAGCGAGTCGAGGGAGAAGAGGAAGTTGGTCTGATTTATATGGCCTGGAGGTCACTGCGCAAACTCAACGTTTGACCATAGATTCAAGAGAGATTCGTCGAAAGCAGGGAATCACTCACTGGTAGTGGAGTCACTGCCAAGATTGCCTTGGGTCGCAAAAGAAGCTGCATGCGGCACTGACATCCATTTTTAAAGAGAGTTTACAAGGCAACGTTGGACTCATTTTTACGCAAACGTTGACAATGTTCATTCCAACCCAACTCGGATTTGGTGCGCACCTCATGCACTAATGCAGGTACACTACAGGCGACTTACAAGGGGACAAGGGCCCATATGCGTCATATTCCGGGGGTCACAATCGCTAATGAAACCTCGTAATCCAACTTCTTACATTGGATATATCTGCCGATATTGAACTCTCTGGTAAAGATCAGCCATGACAGTTGGAGAATTGCACCAATCACTACTGGCTTTTTCTCATGACACAGAAACAGCACCGAGACTTGGTTGCAGGTCAGGATGTACTACATGAGGAAAAGGAAACAAGGCCAGGCTTGTCTCGGGAGCAAGAAAACTTGAGACCTGAAGTGAGGGTGTCGAAAACAACTAACCAAAAGACTTCCTAGATCCATACTAAGCCCACCTAGATCTTTTTGTCGTTCAGGATAGTGCTCTTGTATTTTCTTACTTCCCTCAGCCAGGGTAACAAGTGGAACGAGAAACCCTGATAATAAGACAAAACAATGGAAACAATAAGCGGCATTCTTAGCGTTGCTAGAGCATTGTCATTTCAGCCCTACGCTTTTCTAATTGCAGTATTTTGAGTTCGGAAACGGTTCCAGCAGAGTCATTGCGTTAATGATTAGATTATGATGTTCCCATTTGCTGGGATAACAGATAAGAACGCGCTATCATCCAACATCAGCCAATGGATCTGCACAAACCATCATCTGCCGGTTGCGACCGTTGAGCAATCTCGCCTCATGCAAGGGAACTATGTGGTTATCAAGAAATGTCTTGGCGTTTCTCAGCCGCTTCCGAAAGTCCGGGTTCAGACAATGTTTCATATTTATGGGTAAGGCTATCGTAGCGCTCAGTTGACTGAGACAGCAAAAACATGATTTAGGAGAAAAACTAAGCAAGTCTTGATGACGTAGGGAACGATAAATTGGAAAGGAAGCACTGGTAACCGTGCTATCAAAGGGCATTCCTAAGAGCGGCGATACTCTTCCGAGCACCTGATGATGCGTTTTCAGAACTGCCAATGCTCACAACCGTCTCCTGGGTGCGAAGAACGCCTTCCTTCACCCTCAGAAGACTTGCATTAGCGATCTAACATGACCAATTTCAGAGAAACCTCGGGACGAACTGTAACCTCTGAAGTTGCCAGTACCAAACCTAGGTCGGAAGTCTACTGATGCCCCGAAGCAAACCCCAGCCTCTATCTGTTATTTGGCTCTGCTTTCATCAAACTCGGGAGTTTTCCTTGGAAGAGGGTAACAGTATCACAACATGATAACACATGGTTCAACATAAGGAATCGGTTCTGGCAAATTATTATCATGGTCATATCTCCTTCGGGTACTCTCTGTTGATACAGCCTCATAAGCTTTTGTTGTCGAATCGGGGACTATCAGCTATCCTACAAGCTGGTCTAAAGCAATTTGAATCCCCGAAAAGGGCTCAATGGCATGATGAGTTCCGTAATCAAACAGAAGATTCTTATTACTATCTACATCCGAGCCATTCTTCTCCAACGTCCATACCAACAGCACAGGGCTGATGCTTCCTGTGTTGAAATGCAGCAGCTGATATAGAGGCCCCGATATTCCAAGTACATGTCTCATAATTCAATACTATCAAACCTTCCAAATCCAAGAATAATAAACAGCTCACCAAACTCCCAGCCCTACAATGCCAAAAAGCTTGACTACCACGACCAAACCTCAGCACCCACTCCTCCAAGCACAACCTTGACCTTCTCGCCATCACTCTCCCCTATGACAGCAATATCACCAGGATCAGCAACACCGCTATACGAATCGGCCACCAGTTTCACATTGTTCACTTGAACTCTCCAGACCTTGACCCTCTGATCGTTGCTGACAGTAATGCCGAATGTCTCTCCCCCACGTCGCACGAGCACCACACCGTTGATTGCTGCTGCATGGGCCTTGCGTACAATGCCACGACTTGAAGTTGTGTATCTACGTTTGTCTGACTCGTTTGACATAGGTACTAGCGTTGTCACACCAAGACCGTTGTCATCGCCTCCTGTGAGAACTAGAAATCCTTCAGGTGTTGGCTGAAGATCTAGGCACTTGATACTGCTTTGGTGAACCGGCGCCACCTGGACAAGAACATGGCTAGATACTTCTCCTCCAAAGGTGACCTCCCAGGTTGTCAGGTGTCCATCCGTAGCAGCGGTAAGTGCCGAAAGACCGTTCTCGTCCACCCCGAGATGGCGGACCTGTGTGAGACAAGCTCCCGTGTACGACATGCGAGCTAGGAGGTGGAAGCCTTCTCCTGGTGTGTAACGATATGTTTTCAATGTTGAGTTTGACAGAACCATCGTGATGATGATGCTTCCATTGTCAACCTTGCATGCATCAAAATCCATGATGCGAAGATCTGCGGCAGGACTCTTGTCTTCAAGAATCGCTTCGCACAAGATTCCGAGGCCTTTGTACTGTGAGTCTAGCCTTCGGACAGACCATACGAAGAATTCTTCGAAGCCAGCACTGCTGAGGAGGTAGTCATCTCCTACCCAGTGAATCTTTTGTAGTCCCGATATGTGAAGCTTGGTGGAGGTTACACATCGAAGTCCGCCACTATTCTTCGTTCCACATTGTTCATCTTCATACTCCCAGATACGAACAGTTGTGTCCTCAGCGCCGGTTGCAATATACCGACCACTGGCACTTAACCCCCGAATCTCTCTTCCGTGTGTTCCATATCTCAGCGGGCGATGCATCGGGTTGTGTTGCGAGAATATGTAAAGCTTAGTTGCTCTGGTATAACCAAATCGCACACGGTTGTGGTTGCTGGGATCATGAGCAATAGTAAATGTCCGGTGCGCACCTCCACAGTCGATTGAAGCAATTTCTTCCCGACGTGTTTCGTTCCATACGATGAAGTTCTTGCTCTTGAAGCCATACAAGATCAACTCGGGAGATTCATCTTGAGTAAACCAACCACCTTCTATATCGGCGCCAGAAGGAGCAGCGACCTCATGCTGGAGGTGCAACCGTACTTCATCGCCGAGATCTTCAATCTCGTAAATTCTGTACTTTGTATCTCTGCTCGTCGCCAAGAAGTATAAGGGAGCTTCTTGTCCATCGGTTGTTGGAAGAGGTACTAGGCCGGTAATAGCGTCGCGAGTGTTGAATCTGAAGTCCAGGATGGGGCGGAACTCGTTTCCTGACTGTCTCAATAGTGCAAGAAAGCCATGGCGCGACCCTATGGCGATCAAATCCTTCCTAAAACGAGCAGCAGATATAGCAACAAATCTCTTATCGATACCACGAATATCTGCCGTTGCTACAACAGCTCCTGTGCGCCAGTCGATTGAAAAGTACTGGGAGTCTGAAGTTCCATGAATGTGGACAATTAGTTCTGTAAGACCTCCCACTGAACTGGATAAGATGGATATGTTGAAGATCTTGCCCGGCACAGAGCCAAGAACCTTTACCCCCTGAGATTCAGAGAAGTAGTACAGCTTGCCACTTGTCGTACCAAGAATAGCAGCTCCGTCACCTATCGTCTGGAGAGTATAGCACGTCTGAAACTCGACGTTGAGCTCATCTTCCAGTTCAATCTCTTTCCACTCCAAAGCCGGTTGGAAGGTACCTAAAAGGAGTCGTCCCCAATTTGTGGTAACAAGCATACGATCATCAGAAATGAAATCATAGCGGCTGAATATCTCATTTCCACGAACAGATTTCAAGGTTCGTAGATTAGGTAGACTGGCAGCTATCTCGTCGAAACCAAGCCCGAGTAATTCGTGGGTTGACCCTGATGCTGCAGGGGCCAATGAGGCAGGTTGTGTGATGAGAGAAATCTTGCTGTCAGCGCCTCCGGTTGCGATAAGTGTTTGGTCTCCCTTATTCACTACAACATGCGCCCAGAGATGCTTTCCATCGTGCACGGCGTATGTCTCGATGTGCTTCAACGAACCAGAAACTTTCTCGGGTGAGATATCGAGGTTCAGCTGCCATCTCTGTGCCGTCGAATCTTCTCCAAAAGAGTACAGCGATAAAGGACTTTCTGGGAGTGTTTCGCCTTCCGTGAGTTGGGCGAACTTGACACCCCAGATTCTTGATAAATGTCCCATGATAGTCGCGATAGGTCGTAGCTCTTCCGCCCTGGGCCCATCATCCAGGCCCGCTTTTGATCCGAATCCTGTCTCTCGTGGTGCAGCGAAGTCATGCTTTTCAAGTGACCCATCCCGTCCTGTGATGTTCCAGATTCTCACAGTTCGATCATCACTGCAACTTGCAATGAGTCTCAATTTTGTTCCATCGTCACAGGGTAGTTCTTCTGAGATATCAACGCCAAAGATGGATCCTTCATGCCCGTTCAAGATGGCCAGGAGTTCTGAACGACTCTCTGAAACATAGCAACGCCAAACAAGAATCTCGCCAAAGATTGTACCTCCAGCCATGAGAACAGTGTCTTGGTCTAGCCACTTTAGTCTCGCAGCGTAGAGAATTGGTCGTGAAGGCGAAACAATAGATCCAATAACTGGTGAATCGTCTCCATTCAAGTGTAAGTGGACGACTTCGTTGTGAGCCGTTGCGAGTACTGCAGAAGAGTCGTCATATGGTGACGGTGCAACATCGTAGATCCAGTCTGGAGCAGCTGTCTTCTTCACAACCACTTGAGCATCCGTCGTGTTCTCGATAAATCCCTCAATATTCGAAACCACTGCAATCTGTGCAGCACCCCAGGCCAACACTCGTCCATTACTTAATAGGCGTATTCCATGGATAGGCTGTGCAGAGAAGACACGAACGCTGCCTACACGCAATGCATGGCTGGATTGAAGATCGTAGAGAGTTAAGTGAGTGTCCTCGCCAGCAAGAAGATATTCTGCATCACGGAAGAAGGCGAGTGAGGTGATAGGACCCTGGAAGAATTCCTGGGTGAGGCTTGACTGGTATGTGTGAGCTCATGATAGCGGGGGAGGGGCACTTATGATCACAACTCACATTTGCCATTATCAGAAATGGGAAATAAAATTAGAGAAATTTTGAAATATATGCTCGCTTATTTATTCATGACAGGAGTGATCTTGATGTGCCTATAACAGCTCATGCGTGGAGTCAGGCGTAGAGCTAAATTTGTCTTGTATGAGTGAGGTTTTGTGTGGATTCTCAGTCAGCCATGACAGAAAATTTTTGGACTGGCTCTATTTGTTACCAAGGCCCGTCCTGATGAAGCATCACTAAATTTTTTTGAACCATCACAACAAATCGGACAAAATAATAAATGCATTGTGTATATTTTTATGCTTTGAGGGTGAATGTGTAAGATAGCTATGTATGTTCATTCATTGCCAATAAATTGAAAAAGAAAACGTTTGGGTATCATGCCATCCGGCATCTTCCCGTCACCAATATCCACCAACTTCCTTTGCAAAGCCATAAACATAATCAAATCCCTTTCATGACGTTGTGAGTGCTGTGGCAAACAATATCCTGTCATTCAATCCCGATTACCAAAAACAAACCCAAACGCCATTAATGCAATCATCATCAGATGTCAAATAGACTTAAAGAATCATGTCATAGAGTTATTCGCACCGGTTTAAGCGCGATGAGAGTAGGGTTCGTAGGCGAGGTCAGAACGGGCAGTACCGCTGGGGTAGCGAGGAGCACCGTACTGAGACTGGGACTGGTTGTGGTTGTAGTAGCCGGTCTGCATCTCGTGGTCGTCACCGAGAGGAGCGTAAGAGCCGTGCTTGTTGGTAGCACCACCGAGGAGCTTCTCGCCATCAGATCGGCGGTTCTTGTTGTCGCGGCTTCGGCGCTCAGGCTTGCAGCAGCAGATGGTGAACATCCAGAAAAGACCAGCAGCGATGGCGAAAGCGGCGGCAATAGAGACGCAGGCGAAGAAGCGGCCGTTGATATCACCCTTGACACCGTAGAACTTGGCTGTGCCCTCGACAGCACCAACAACTGTACCAGCAAAGACACCAGAAAGTACGACAGCGGCGATAACGAGAGTGGATGCAATACCAGCGACGATCCATGTCAAGCAGGAGAAGATGCGAGAGCAGTTGGAGAAGATACCGAGAATAATCTCAGCAGCAAGGGCGACGAAAGCTGCGATGTAGACGACCTGAGTCCACTTGGTGACAGTCTTGAAGGCCTTGAGAGCACTCTGAATCTCATCAGGGAGCTCAATCTGGACATTCTTGTCGGCACCGATGAGATAAGAGGTGTTCAGCTTCTTGTTGGCCCAGTCAAACTCGGGCTTCTCGCACTTTCGCTTGCCATCCGAGTCGGTCTTGCAGAAACCCCAGAGGTTGATGTCGTAGTACTTGTCGAGACCGAGCAGCTCAGCGGTAATGTTATCCTTGACCTTGTCGGCACGCTCCTCGATCACCGGCACATCGCGGGTATCCAGCTTGAAGTCCTTGAGGTCGAGGTTATCGATAATGTTGCCGACATCGGCAGGGCTGATGCTGAGGTTCTTGACATCAATTCGGAAGATGTAGAGAGACTTGTCGGCGACACCAGCGAGGGCACCGACGAGTAGGAAGATGATGGAGCCGACTGTGAGCACAAACGGCAATAGCACGCAGAAAAATCGACCGACGCCCATTGTTGCTGTGTGTGATGTAGTTTTTGGTGGTTGTTATTAAAGTATGCGGCGGATATAAACCGTGAGTCGGAGATCGAATCGGAATATGACGTAGAGTTAGCAGAACGAGTGCTGTGCTGCTATAAGCGAATGACTCTATTCGAGTGAGTAGAACGAAACGCGACAGATAGAAAATGACGCGAACGTAAAAAAAGGGAAAGATGAGATGAGACGAGATAATAGAGGAGAGAAGATTATCACCAAAGGGAAGAGGAGGATGGTTTTATAAAAAGCTGAACACAGCCCAGGGCACCACCTGCAGGTAGGCAAGTTCCAGGTTGGGCTGGGCGTGAGCACTAACCGTTGTGCTGCAGTACAGTTACGCACGAACAAACAGATGAGGGGGTTGGATGTTGGTTGACGTGGAGTGGCGCAGCGAGCCCCTGCACCCGGGACAGGCAAGATCCCGCGCTGAGCTCGTACTGTGATATCAGTGCTATGAATAGTCATCGCGTACAGTGCGTAAATATCACGTTCTGCCTCGTCCGCCTGGAGGCGTTGCGCTTACGACTCCCCCAGTTACCCAAGCCCAAAAACCCAAGCCTGGTTGTTACAGCTTGAGGTCAGGTTCCCACTAAAAAGGTCACAGTGGAGAGATAGGGCGCTCAGCCACTCATCCACGCTTTCACTCTTTTTGATGAAGCTGAGCTCGTTCGCTTTTCGCTTGTCTAACCTTCAGGCTGTGCTAGTCGAAACAGCTGAAAAATAAACATGCACCTGGCTTGCGACTACGGTGAGGTTATCTGCTCTCATCAGGTCCTGTTGTTAGAGGAACTGCTGTAAGCTTTGGATCTCCCCACGATCAACATGACGATCATGTCATTGGCCCAGCAGCATACATGATATTGGTGGCTGGAGGAAGTCTAGTGGTGACAATTGATACACTGAAAGTTTCCATTGCGGAATTAACAACTATGATGACATTGCTCCGCAACTAATACACCACGGATCACTTCCTCCTCTACTCGTCCATCTGATCAAGCAACAGTTTACGATTATCGAACCAAAATATGGATCCATATCCCTACAGAGTGTAAACGCAGGGACCCTGAGCTTTTGGTGCTGACGACACCTGCCAGGATATAGATCCACCTCCAAACACCACCTTGAATTTTTTCTCCATGATCAACACTGGAAAACAAACAAGAACAACAAACGGGATGACTTGTATGACTACGGCAACTGGACGGGATAATGCAGACGGTGGACTCTATTTTCACCGACAAGTGACACAATTTAAGTTTGTGCAAGATTGAGTTACCGTTGTCAAAGAGAGCGGGTGTCAGATGGAAACACCCGTTGTGCTGACAACGAAGGATAAAGCATGAAGCTGTCCAGCAGCTGCTACGTCAGAGTACCATGCCCAATCCTTATCCACAACCGAGATGTGGGATGAAATTCCGCTATTCGGTCAGGTAAACGCAGCCTTACAAGAGACATTTTTCGCGATATGATCGTTTGCTCCCCCTGTCTTGATTCCTGTCTGAAGGAACTGTCATGCAAAGCCTCCCTCCATCTCTAAAACACAGCCTTTGCTAGTCCCGGGTATCGAGAATGTGTACGTATACCGCGTCTAATTTTAGATTTTGCCGCGTTTTTTTGTCTTGCTCAGCCCTCACTGTCAGTCTCACTCTTTTACTAGGATCCCCCCACATTAGATTGGCTTGACTGACTCTGCTGCACCGCCTTCGGTACAGGCCGTTACCGGCACATGGGAACTGATTGATAATTTGTTACGGAGGAGCCAACGAATGATGAAACTGCGGCATCTTTATTTTGACATCAAACTCAATTATCAATTCATCCCACTATCAACCGAAAAGATATCCATCCACCGACTTTTCATCTACGTTCTGACCATTTGTCACCGGTTTAGGAATGGTTAAGCTTACGCATGCAAGGGCCAAACTCTGAGTCTGAAAGATGCTGACTTCAGCTGCCACGACTTTGTCACTTATCACCAAAGTCCTTCTTCCAAATGTAGCTAGTCATCATTTTTCGTACTGACCGACGTTTTGACACTACCGCTGGGCTGCTATCAATGTGGTGAGCTCCATACCTCCATCCTGGCATAAGATATTGATATGCAATGCCTATCCTAACATATGTACTACCTTTCGTTATTGACTAGAAGTGTTTCTTTGTCGTTGATGATGACAGTACTACTTCTAACACGTGTAAAAAAAAATTCTGCTGGTGCTTTAGCGAGGCCTCTCTCAGCTGTCAGGATACGATTCGTATCAAGGCTCAAACCCACCTTCATTATAGAAACCGATCTCGAAGTGATTCAGATGGTTACAATAAATACCCAATACCAGACACAGTAAAATAGCAAAGAAATCTGATTGACATACCTATTATATGATCTCATCTGCTGTATATTCTTTTGTCCTTCAAACCTAGCCCTATCATATATTACTTGCAACACACTAGCATAGGGTAACCCAGAGGAGCTGGCTATTCATCCAGGTCACAACTGGGGAGCATGAGATAGCCACCGCCTAACGGTAGGGTGGGCTAGGCATTGAAGCAACAAAGAGTCCGGGTCGGAGTTGAAGGTAATTATATAATTCTTGATTGGCTTGATCAAGATAAACGTCACTCACTTTCATGACATGTAATGGACACGCAAAAGTTGTAATATCATTTCCATATTTCAGACAAGTACTTAACATCTCTGCCATGTTTGGGCAAATTCTCTCTCAAGTTAATTCCTCAAAGCACAGAGCCATGCTAATTCCCATCGATGTTGCTTTTGCCCATTGAGCAAGCTGGTGTACTCATTCTACACGCACATGATATCTGAACAGTCAGGTTCCCAACAAAACTTCATGTACACAACATGATGTAAAGGTGGTCGACACAATCAACACGACAACAGTGGTCTGGTCAAGTTAGACTTCGAAGTTTTGTTCACCGACTCTCGCTCCTTTGTGAATGATTTTGAAGTTCACAGTTCCATCCTCACAATCCATCTGGATGCGATAGTCAAGCTGCGAGAAGGTTTGTCGCTTTCGATTGGTCCACTTGGGAAGCTTGTTGGTGTTGATGATTTTGTTCCAAGTGACAGTGCAAAGTTCTCGAACGTTGGCTGAGCCTTTAGGTGCCCTTGCAGGCGGAGGGAAAGTCGTCGTGCAGTAGATTGTCTCAGAGGTCTGGACTGTGCTGTCTGAGCAAAGGCGGTAGTACTCGTGATGAACTGGACGCTTCTCCGAAATATCTTCACCCTGGTAAAAGAAAATATGTTAGCAATGAACTATTATCCACCCTGGCCACCTTCTTACCTCCTTTAGAAACCACTCCATCTGGTTACCGGTCTTGTATTCTTGTTCGTCATCATTCCAAGTCTTGTCCACCTTCTTGTGCTTTCCCGCGATGAAAGTAGTGTGGTATTTAACACCGTAGCTCATTCGAGCGACTCGTGCCTCAACATTGACACCCACGCTCAAAGAGGGATCGTGTCGGAGCAATCCTTGCACAACAGCGCCGCGGCAGATCGCAGTCCACCTATACTCATGTCAGTATGCAAGTGCCAAGTTCTTTCATTCAAATCATAACTGCATACGGCTTAGTCCCACGAGACTGTAGGATCGTTGCTTCGAACCGTTCGTGAAGACAGTTGAAGAGGTAACGACTACGGCCAAAACCTCCGACGAGAATGATGTACTAGGCGGCAAAGTTAGATATTCACCTTGAGAATTTTTGGATAGCATCCATACCTTAGGGGCTCTGTGACCTTTGGCCTGAATCGCATCCACTTGCTGGCCAACAAGGGTTTCGATTTTACCCGCGATTGGGGAGAACACGGACAAGATCTCGTCACTGCAGATAGAGTCAGTTGAGCATTTTTACTCCGGATACCCAAACTCACGAGGTGAGCTCAACTGTTGCGCGGCACTTCAAGCCCGTGGACAAGTCGCTACTGCAACTTTCCGGCAGATCGACGGGCCATGTTCGAGGCTGATTCTCGAACTGAGGTTTGATGCCATGTTCCCATTGATCGTTCAGGAACTTCTTCTCATCAGCATGACCGACGAAGTTCCATGTACCCTTAGGAGCTTTGTTCTTGATGAGTTTGATGAAACCCTCGTCAAGAAAGACACCGCCGCAAAGACCGCCTAGCTATGAGTTAGCTATCTCAGGTTATTTCAGCAGGTTGGTGTATGTTTGTTGACAAACCGTCGCCTTTGACACACTCTTTGACGACAAACGGATCAGTTGATTCGAAGATGTAGCTTATGAGGTCCTTCAAATTGTTAGCAGTGTACAGTTCCGCTTCGAGATGGACTTACGACTGTGCCACCACCCGCATCACAAACAACGATAGTGTCACCAGTCTATAAGAGTCAGTATAATGAATTGAGCTTTTGTGTCAAGCGGTATTTGAGCCCATACATTGATTGTCGAGCGCTTAGAGAGATCCTTGATGGTCGCAAGGGCGGCAGCTTCAGGCTCTGAGATGAAATAAAGGGTAGTAGCGCCGGCAGAGCGTCTATCCATAATACCTGATTGTTGAGCGGCTTGCTTCATCCGCTGCTGGGCGTAGGCTGGCCAGATGGCTGGCAGCGTGATTACGACTTGCAGTTTACATCGTCTCACCAAATCGGCGCCGATGGCACGCTTGATGGACTCGGTGGAGTGGTCCCAAAGGTTGCGAAGGAAGGACGCAATAATCTCAATAGGATCTTTCATCACTTTGTTCTTGAGGCGACGAGCTTCCTGCAGTTGAGTCGAAGCCGCAACTTCAACAGGGATGTCCTTGGCTTCGAGAAGCAATAGCTTGAACCACTTCAGTGGCTCATCCTCGGCAGGAATGCCATAGCCCCATTTGACATCCTGACCGTTCTCATCGTAGCAGAGCTGTGTGGGCGCCTTTTCGACATCTGAACAGTGATTGAGCTGAGAACCCCAGCTTGTGACGATCTCGATGTCGTCAGGCTGTCGGAAGTATGCCCAAGCAACACCCAAGAATCTATGAACATGTTCAGCATCTAATAAGAGAACGGAAATGATCAGCTTACGTAGTCCCGAAGTCGATGCCGATAATGATGGCATCGCTTTGCGGCTGGTTGGCAGTCATGATGTCTGAGTTCTCCTTGCGAAGGCGGATGATGACACTAGGAAGATTGGTGAGATAAAGAGAATGTTTGGGGGGAGGGGAATCTAAGAAGAAAAGAAGGAAATAAAAACACGAGAGAGAGAGAGAGAGAGGAGAAAGAGAGGAAAAAGAAATGCCGGTATGCGTGCCCGCACTTGATTGATTGCCAGTGTTGACAGTGCTTGCCAGGTGCCAACTGATAAAGGATAAAGGATGAAGGTGCCGTGCAATGCTGCATATAGAAGTTACGGGGCAGTGAATAATCATGAAAAAAGAACAGAGAGCCCAAACTCATCTGCAAAAACCCGTTTGCTTAAGCTGCATGCTTTTCTGTCACCATGAAGCAGCTCCAACTCCTTCCATCAGCACCACTTTTTTCATAAGGGGGACTTCAAAATTTCATTTATTTCTCTGCCTCTTTTATTCATCTCTGTTACTCTTGTTTGCCTGAGAATATTCACCTTTCTTCACCTTTGTGATTTGCTGAGAGTGGCATCACCATTCGCCTTTCGTCTGCCTTTGATCAGGTAGAGATTTCTGAGCAGCAACGTACCTTCCCTACATTAGGTGGTTTTAATACCAAAGGAGCTGCAGGGAAGCACTTGATTTTATCAACCCCGATAGCTCTGTGAGTAGAGCCCCCCTTCTCCATGTTCAGCCCTAGCACTTGCTGAGAACTTCAAACAGTCACCATCATGTCCCAACTCTGTTAGACTAGCCAAGGATGAGCTCTCGAGACAAGCCGTCAAGCCAACACCAAGTTGGTGGAGGGGGTCGCTCTGGAAATTCCATAGCCTCTGGGCAGCAAGTAAATCCTGGTGCTACAACTTATTCTCTCGTGGATGTGGGTAACCATGGGGGTGCTCCAGGACGACAGAGCAATACTTCATCCCAGCACAGTCTGAAAGATCACAATACCCCGTCTATGGATGAATTCTTGATGGTGCAGGAGCCGCGAATGAACGGCCTTCTTCAACATTCCGCACAACAGATAGAGGTGCAGCGGTCCACCCTTCAACAAGTGGCGAACCATCTCTCTGCCACTGCTACCAACATTGGGCACAGCATAGCCCAGTGGATTGGACATCCAGCCTCAGAGCAAGCAGCCAACCTTTATCACCAACTTGAAAAGTCTCACAGTCGATATGTTGATGTTGATACCAAGTACCGACAACTGAAGGATGAGTACCAGGCCCTAGAGAAGCGGCTGCAAGAGTCCAACACCAAGCTTGAGAATGCTATAAAGGAGCGGGATGAGCAGCGACGACTCGCCGAGATCGCCAACTGGACGGGTGCAACCAAGGTATCGGATGACGCTATCCAGAGCAAGTGGAAGCAGCTTGAATACAACATTCGAGCCATGGGGAGATCTTTGGCCAAGTGTCAAACTCGTCGCACCTCGAACGTTGCCATTAAAGACCGACTGTCCATGGCCGCGCCACGCTGGCCCAAGTTGTCGTTCGATGATAACCACACAGAGTTCGTTATCAGCGCTTATATCTGGATCATTGTCCAAGAGATCATTGAGGAAGGCAGTGAGATTTGGGGAGGTGATCATGGAGTAAACTTCAAAGCGATCTGTACTGATTTCATTGGTATGTACTGCCGTCGAGTGTGATATATTCACCTTAACATCTAACACCACTCCTCACAGGACTTGCTCCCGAGGGAGACAAACCTTCAGGCCGTGGTCCAACTCTCCGACATGTTGCACGATGGATTGCCCAGGGCGCAGCCTTCTTTGGACATTTCTTTGTCCGTGACGAGCAAGCCTTTAGACACCGAGCTGCCGCAGAGATTGAATTACTGAAATGTTTCTTAACCATCCCCACAGACAAATCAAACGCTGGTCTCCTTCAGGAGATGAAGGGCATCATTGAAGCTGCAATGGAGCTGGACGAGATGTTGATGAGCTCCAAGGCGATCTTTACTGTCTGTTGGCCCGAGATCAACAGCCCGAAGCGCCAGCGGTTCAATACAACCGAAATGGAGGCGTTTGTACGTGGCAAATACTTAACATCCAAGACTGTGGTCGAATTTGCCATCTCGCCTCTGCTCATCAAGATGGGCAACGCCGATGGCTGCAACTACGACAGCCGTATGGTCGTTTGCAAATCTTTGGTTGTATGTCGTTAACTGTTGTTGACACGGAGACAAGGTTATATGAAGGAGGCCCTTCATGGAAAGGAACACTTTATCCGAGTAGGACTGGCAGTGTTTCGGGGGCAGCAATGAACGCCACGTTTGTGATTTTGTTAAGTTACCAAGTACTGGTGGTTTATGTGGTTCTGTAGCTGTTGTGTCCGAGGCTAGGATGCCAGATTAGATGCCATGGGGATACAAAAGCCATAAAGTCAGAGTAGTTTGTTGTCAACTATGTTTTGTCTTACGTCGTACCAGTGCAGTGATGCTTCTCCTCTGTATTGTTCACCTTTACACAGAAAAGGAATAGTGTGCACTAGACCAGCTGCAAGCTGTCAAGCCAACGCGGGGATGGTTTCGGTGAAGGGAGCACGAGGGAGAGTCAGCTGTCACTGCACAGAGACTGTGTTATCGTAGGTGTCTAGTGTAACGAACTATTGGTTCACTACGGAGGCGAGAACGGCGGCCTCAAAAGGGCTGACTGATAGAGTGTGATTTGATACATCATTATGCTTTCGTCTGCAGTCATGGTAGGAAGAGGGGTTGAGTCTTGGCCTTTTCGCCATTGTGTATTAGCTGCTCTGAATAGTTGATATAGTGGTTGGATATATCAACTGATCTGGATCGAGAGTCCGAATGTTTGACCGAGTTTCTCGTTTGTTTCGAATCAGTGAATGGTCGAGACAAATCAAGCTCTCGCACGTGCCAACAGTTGTCTCCAACTCAGGTCAGTCTGAGTGTCAATCTCCAGGGATTCGGGTTAGTTATCAGGGGGGCCCGGGCCTTGAAGCCGTTACATTTCGTAGTCTTTGGTGACGAATCAATCCATGTCGATTTTATAGAGGTACAGATTAGATCTTACCAGTCCAAATCTGTCGAGCCTCCGGTTCAGGTCCCGAGACCCAAAGATAATGAGACGACCAACGTAGAAAACCGCCATATGACAGGTTTATGCGGAGGACGAATGCCGAAGTTATCAAGTCAGAGGAAACAATAGAGAATAGACAACTTGGTGAGAATCTTTGCTCTTATCAAGTCTTGTCAAGCTTGGCCCTCCCACATTCTTACGTATCATCCAAGGAATTGCTTGATACCCCTGCTTCACGCCCAACCTCGCATTGCTGAGCCTCCCCTCCATTGGGCGCCGATCAAGAACCACCCCGGACGAACCAGTCTTGGCTTCAGTGCTTGTCATTGAGCTTCTGTTTCAGTCTTTTTTGGCCTCTGTTGCTGTCTGTCTGTCTGCTGTCTTGTCTTGTCCTGTCTTGAGTGAAATCAATACGACGAGGTCAGCTCCGTCCAATGATCCTCTCAAGACGTCAACTGAACTGTTATCACTAACCACAAGACGCCCTGGTTCGAAATCACTGAACTCTGTCCGACAAACAAGAGAAGAGGGTGTGGAACCTTATTCCATAGCCTGCGCCTGTCCAAGCATGCCTGTCCTCCACTGTCTGTTCATAGCCTGAGCCTGAGCCGCCACTTCGCTTCCAAATTGACCTTATCTGGCTCCGCTCCGTTGCTCTACTACGCGCTGTAAGCTCTCGACCGGCCTCAACTCAACTCCTCATCTCGTCTTGGCTTTTTTTGTTGTTTTTTTGCTTTGCTTTGTGTGTGAGAGAGAGACTTGGGGTAAGGAACAAGGTCCAGGTGGAGGTGTTAGTGTGTACATACCTTGCCGAGACGAGACTACCACTACCACTACCACTACCACTACCACTACCACTACCACTACCACTACCACTACCACTACCTCTACCTCTACCTCTACCTTTAGTTGACTTACCTTTTCACTTCTGCAACACACTTGATCCATTGTTTCTTCCTCTTTCACCACAAACTCTAGACCCTCATCCGCTGCAATTGACAGTTGAGCCTATCTTTATTTGTGTCAGCGTCTGATTCAGGCACTCGACTTATCGTCCTTTTTACTCTATCGACGTCATCGCATGCGAACTACTCCGCCCGCCGTATATCTTGCTGCATCGCCTCTACAGCACTGTAGCACCTACACCTGCACCTACAAACTGTACCCATACCTATACCTATAACGATTACGATACCGTCTTCTGCCAACACCTGACCTGACACTCAACGTTTTGCCTTTAAACGCCTTGGCAATCTGATTTTTCATTCAATCTCACCTTACGATTACTTGACTTGCTTTTGCTGTTAGTTTGTCTTGTTCAGTACCTCCAATACCTTCCTCCACTCCATGTAAGTCTACCTGGTCCTCCACACTGTAGCTATACCTATTTTTTTCACCCGCGTCGTCAACACTTGAATGCGCCGCAACCCTACCATACGCAATCTTCACTCAACGTCAACCTCTTCCAGTGTGACTCAGCCTAACGTGGACTCTATCCAGATTCGAACTCGGCCTTTGCTCTTTCAGCGCTATCTCCGATCTCGTTCCGTTCGCCTTTTTTTTATCGTCTCCGGCTTCATCCCGGCGTTAACAGGCCATCCCACGACGTCATCACCGCCGCAAAATCCACCGGCCGATTCACTTCAACATCTCGTGCTTCAACTTGAAGCATCTTCTAAAACTGCCCAAAACGGACGCATCAAGGAGTCGTCGTCGTCGCTCCTCCTCCTCCTCCTCCTTTTTCTTAACCCTCGATCGCTTCTTTCACCCTCCCTAACATCTCCCTTGATCCAAGCTCGATCTTATCTGCGCCGAAGGGAATCGCTACGAATCGAACCGCCCATCACCAGTGAAGTTTGGGATAACCACTGTTGATAGTCGCGGGAAACAATACCATGGGAAACAACAACTCCACTCCAGGCGGATCCAACTCCAAAGGCTCCGGCTCGGCCGGGCCTGATGGACCCCTCCAGTCTTACCCATCATTCAGCAGATCTGACACCAAAGAATCGTCACGCTCGTTTCGATCTCTAGGTTCAAAGATTCGTGGTAGCAAGTCGGACAGTCCCAGGAACTCACAGGTTCTGTCCAACGGTGACATTGCGACTGAAACAAAGACTGAGGAACGACGATCCAGTAGGCATGGACGTTCAAGCTCGTCTCGACTGAGCCGCAGTGAGCTCCCCCCGCTCAATACCGCTGCGTCGGATATGTCAGCACCCGAATCGGCCCTCGCAGATTCGGCTATTGGAGACGATCAACCGCCTCCATCTCCCGTTCAGGGACATACCAAGGGCGGTGCCCACGATGTTAGCGCCGCGCAAGCGTCGGGAGAGGTTGATCATGTTTCTGACCAACCTCCATCTGTCAATGCTGGAGCTACTGCGCATATGCAAGCTCCAGGCCAGTCTATTCTGGTGAAGCGAGAAAACACCATTAACCCAGTCAACAGCCCTTCTGCTGAATCCAAGACAGAAGGAAACTCCAATGTCACCATGTCTGAGATCAAGGATATCGATCTCGACGACTTTATCAAGCGACTCTTGGATGCGGGTTATGCTGGAAAGGTCACCAAGAGTGTCTGCCTCAAGAATGCCGAGATTGTTGCCATTTGCCAGAGAGCTAGGGAAGTCTTGCTGTCGCAACCTGCTCTCTTGGAGTTGGATGCCCCAGTCAAGGTTGTGGGTGATGTTCACGGCCAGTATACCGATGTTATCCGGATGTTCGAGATGTGTGGGTTCCCCCCTAACTCGAACTACCTTTTCCTCGGCGACTACGTTGATCGGGGTAAGCAGTCTCTGGAGACTATTCTGCTACTCCTCTGCTATAAGCTCAAGTTCCCCGAGAACTTTTTCCTCCTCCGAGGAAACCATGAGTGCGCCAATGTCACGCGAGTCTATGGCTTCTACGATGAATGCAAGCGAAGGTGCAATGTCAAAATCTGGAAGACTTTTATTGACTGCTTTAACACTCTACCCATTGCTGCCATTGTCGCGGGCAAGATCTTCTGTGTCCACGGAGGACTCTCACCTGCGCTAGTTCACATGGACGATATTCGAAACATTGCTCGACCGACAGATGTCCCCGATTATGGACTACTAAACGATCTTCTTTGGTCTGATCCAGCAGACATGGAACAAGATTGGGAAGCCAACGAGAGAGGTGTCAGTTATTGTTTCGGCAAACGAGTCATAACCGAATTCTTGGCAGTACATGATTTTGATCTCATTTGCCGTGCGCACATGGTCGTTGAGGATGGTTATGAATTCTTCAATGATAGGGTTCTGGTAACAGTCTTCAGTGCCCCCAATGTAAGTCACACATCTCCGCATCTCCTCGGAAATTCGGCTAACTCGTATAGTACTGCGGTGAATTCGATAACTGGGGCGCTGTTATGTCGGTATCTGCGGAGCTACTCTGCAGCTTTGAGCTTCTCAAGCCTCTTGACTCAAGCGCTCTGAAGAGTCATATCAAGAAGAGCCGAAACAAGCGACAGCACATGCTCAACAGTCCGGTATGTTCCGCAAACAAGCACCTTTAAACCTTCTCTAATTATTGTCACAGCCCGCTATGGTCCAGCCTCAGAGCGTGTAATAGTATACATTGCAAATACGAATCCGATTTTTATGCCACTTCCTCTATTGAGACATTCATTTAACGAACTACAGCAATCCGAGGGCGACCCGGATATTGCTGTCCAATTTTCACCAGAATGAGCAGCGCAAACAGATCGACTCTTGAACCAGAGTATGAAAAGGTCCACAATGGGCTTGGGTGCCGAGAACAAGTACACTCAGTATACAGTTGCCAGTACCACGGTGTGACAGCCGCAAGGTCACGACTCTGTTCCGAGTGACGGACGTAACTGTCCTAACCAAAAGACCTGAAATGGTTGAATTGGTACACAAAACCCAGAATAGCGCCGCTGTGAATACGATTTGGAGTTTGGGAAAGGTTGGCCTATAATTGAGGCGCACTTGTAAATGACTGATTGAAGCATTGGGAAGGATGCCTTATAGAGTATTATGGGCTTATAGCAAGATCCAAGATCTTGATTTGTGCATAGCACCGGGAATTGAGTACAGGCAGTTCCTTTGAATGTGTTTATGCTTTTATATATGACTTGTAGTGAATCGAATGTGATGTCGATGATTGGCCAATGCGGGGTGAAGTGCTTAGTCATTGAGTTGCGACGAAAATTGATCGTCGAAACCACTGACAATCAGCTTCACCACATCAGACAACCACCCCAAAATGCAACGCCACGCCTTCCGTTCGGTGTGCAGCCGGACAAGGCCAGAGCTCGAGCAGGTCTCGGATGCGTTTCGAAACTACGCCCGTCAATTCTCAACAACGCAGTTCCAGGCTGCCGATGGCCCAAGCCCCAGCACCCCGAGGCCGCCTCGAAGTCAGGCTGGTGGTCCCAAGGTTATCGATATAAAGAACATGCCCCTGCGCGGACGTGGGGGTCTCAGAGGGCGCGGTGATGCTCGTGGAAGAGGCGGTCTTATGTACAGAGGTCGAGGTGGATTTGCCAGAGGAGGATCATCAGCTCAAGACCGATCTTCTACGCCTGTTCGAACTTCTTCACCGACAAGAGGTCGTGGTGGTTTCGGTGCGAGCAGAGGACGAGGCGGTCGTGGCGGCCGTGCTCGTGGCCGAGGTGGAAGGACCAACGATCGACGACCAAGGGATGAAGAGGACAAGGATAAGAAGAGGATCGACCGAAACGAGTTCAACACATTGGATCCTGATGAGAAGTCCTTTGACGATAGCATTCGATTCGGCATCACCTCTCAGTACACACCGTCTCTCACACTCGAATCTATCAACGAATTTGCGCCCGTTGCACCAAATTCCGCCTCTGGAAAATCGGCTGCTGTTCTTCAGAACCTCAGTGTCCTCGGCACAGCGGATCATGTCGGCGCACCAGAAGCCTTCCAGCCTAAATATTACGCCTCTGAGATTGAGGCCAACGGTATTCGCTTCTTCGCCGACCCCAAAGATAAGGAGGCTGCCGAAAAGTACCTCCAGGAGAAGCTCAAGGCTGAAGGCAAAGAGTCCACAGGCCCCATCATTACCGACACGGAGGACGCCATTCGTCAGGTCATCACACAGCGAGCTATTCAAGGCCAACATGAGACACCCAAGTTCGCTTCAGACCCTGTTGGTCTCTCTCGCTCATGGCATCTCAGGGCCGAGACTTACTCTACCAACGATGTCAACTCCTTTGAGACAAAGTTGACATCGCTGTTGGCTAAGAAGCCTACTGCTGGAAAAGGTGGAAAGGCCCGTGCTTAAAAGATTAGATCTTAGGATCAGTGTACACTTGTCACGATATGTAATACTACAATATTCTTCATCTATCATACAATTACCATCTACAGTTGACGGATGGTCTGTGCTTCTTCCTGGTCGATTTCCTTCATCTTCTTGTCTTGTACCTTTTGAAGCTCCTTCTCAGCCTTTTTGACGATGTCGGGGAGGACAGTGCCTGATTTCTTCCAGTCCTTGAGTGTCTTTTCATGTCTGGATCTAGCATTGCGAATGCGGTCCTTCCAGTGCTGCACTGTCTCTTTGATTCGTCGCTCGACGTCGTCCTTGCGCTCGAGCTCCACCTTGAGAAGAAGCTCAAGCTCGTTGTCCTCTGATCGCTGTGGCTGCTGGTTGAACTCACGGCTTGCTTGCACCGCTGACATGATAGGCTTGATGTACTCCTTGTCGTTCACAAGCAGTGAAATAGCTCGACCAGATCGAGGAACGACTTGCGCCAGCTCTCGTAGAGGGAATGTCACATCATTGCCGTCATGATCCTTCATAGGCACAGGGAGCGATCCCAAATTGGTAGGATTGAATCGTCCACCATGTATCATACCCGCCAGCTGGGTCTTAAAGTGTGCATCAATAGGAGCATACGCAGCAATAACAGCTGTAAAATCGAGGGGATCTTCCGGATCCGGCATCGGCACCTTTGCAGTATCGAACTCGGCCTTGTTCATAGAGCCCGCAGCTGCCTTCGCATTGGCGCTGTTGGGACTGTTGCTAGGGGCTGTGATCTTGCGCTTCTTTAGCAGAGAGGGAGACGTGCTGAAGACGCGGGGTGTAGCGGCTATCGATCGGAGGGGAGCTGGGCTGGGTCGGTCAGTCAATTGCATGATGAGACGATTGTGAGACGGGTCGTACCCCTCTGAGCGCGCGAGCTGGCGCAGACATGTTCGTAGAGGACCATTGGCTCGCGACATTGCCATTGTGGTGATTTAGTGTTGTGAGATGGTGTTTCTGGTGTTGGTAGTTTGAGTGAGGGTCGAAATTCCTGCACGACGTCAGATCAGGACCTGGTTCTAGGTGATAAGATAAGCACTGGGATTCAAACACCAAGATGGAGACCACCAAAATATCTTAGTAGCTGTGAGCATTTGATAAAGAATATTGAATCATGGGTACTAGAATAATTATTTAATTGGATTATAGTAAATCCCTATATGTATGTTGTAAAGATGCAAGTGAGAAGTGTTCAGCTTCTTTTGAAGCTCTTAGTCGTTCTCACACCAGCGTAGACATTAGATAATCTTTGTATAAAGAGAGTAACAAATCCTTGATAAACTGGTACAGATCTCTATGAATCAAAGTAGCCCAAGATTGAGCTGATTAAAGAAAAGTTCTCAGCTCGACTTCTGAGAATGATTCGACTCAACCTGGCAGCAGATGGCGTAGCGAATTGACATTAGATTCAGAGGTGCCATGGATAAAACATAGTACCAATACATTGCTCAGTATCTACCGCTCATTAGTTATAATGAATGTAATACAGACTCTGATGAGGTTAAAATTAACAATCACCGACTTGCCATCTATAGAAGTTGCTCCTGCCATGATGATTTTCAAGTTCGAGTTCAACCAATGACGCCGTCTCGTGCCAGCCTTACACGAATCGTGAAGACCCACAATTACCCCGCAAAACGTGGGATGCTGAGTCGTCAGACAAAAATTGAAGATGGTTGGTGTCACAACACCAACATATCATGTATCACGCTGATCGTGGCAGGGTTCGAACCTGCGACCTTTTCCGATATATCAATGCGATTAGCAATGTAAAGGAAACATGATAATACCACTACACCACACGACCTTGTTAATACGTTGAGGCATCAGAAAAATATAATATACTTCACTATCTGAAGAAGTGAATCCATTTACCCATGGGATATCTACCATTCGATCCAATACCATTAGAGTTCTCTTTTTATATATGGGCGACGGGCTCCTAAGTCGGGAACTCCCTATTCCTTTAGTTAGTTGAGGTTAATCGAGAGGTTTTATCAGTAAGTCGGCTATATTGTACTCAGTATCGAGTCTTATGTCGATTTCTCCTGACTCGACTCTTTCGTGAATAAAGTGGTGACAAATATCAATGTGTTTGGATGAACGGGACCTATTGCCACTTTCCCGCCATCGACCCGGTACAGTACGGGACAAATTCACATCAGGTCTTAATTTTGCTTCGAGAGTATTCATTCTGATGAATTGCCATGTGCAAGATGGGGGCTTTAGCCTTTGATAGTGTCTAAATACGAACCATTTCGGCACTTCATGGAATATGCAACGCCCTACTTCTTCCACAAGGTACAGTCTATTTAAAGTAAATATACATCGCTTGAGATTGGGTTCTATGCTAGAATTGACAGTTGCCTTTAACCATGCGCCGCCGCTTCGCCTTGCGGTGTCGCCTCTGGTGGACTTGCTCTGATGACCGCAGAGTTATACCGTGAACTTCCTGCACATGGCGCCGGAAGTGGCCGACATGTCTATGTTTGACGTCGCGACACGTGGGTCGCCCGCTCCGCTCCGCTTGCTCACGTCTAATCATATGATGGTCATCGAAATGGTTCATTCATGACTGTAGGGCGACAGTATGTAAAGGGGTACACTCCCCTCGTGAGAGTCGCTCATCACCGATACAATCAGGAAAAGACCTGTCGCGAGCGCTGTATGGACCTCTGAACTTAGTACACTTATCAGAATAGATGTATTGTTGTTAATTGCCGTGAGTCTTCTCTGAAATTCTGGTGTATTAAAGATGCTGTTTACTGTCCTACATACTCCTCTCAGATTGCTCGACACCGTTCCCGTCGGCTTGGTGAGGTCATGGCCATGGGCGAGAAGGAGATCTTCTGCTTGTGCAAGATAGTGCTCAGGAGACCGAGGCGAGAAAAAGAGATGTTTGCGAGAAAAGAGAACCTAGATGCAGCACGCAAGGCTTTACGAAGAGAGATGGACGAAACCTATAGAAGCGACGAACGACACTATAGCATCGCGATGCGCAAGGCGTTGAATCACCCGAGTCTTGGGCGTGGTGAGATGGAAAGCACTAACATAAACTAACGATCAATGACAGCAATAATTCGGGCGATACCCCACTGCACCTGGCAGTGATCTGCTCTTGTCACTGCAATGTCTCCAACGAATTCCCGGCTGGTTCTTGCTGCGAGCCGTTCAGTCTCGAGGTCAGTCATCGCAAGCTCCTAATACCGATCCGCGCACGAAGTACCGAGGACCGACGAAGCTTCTCTGCAAGAGTAGGGGTAAAGTATCGGGACTAGGCAAAGCTTTGTGTTCTGTTCGGAGAGGTTCGGTCTTATGGATAGACAGATCTCAGCCCCATGTTGAACGCGATGACGCTTGACCATCCCTAGTCCCAGAGGGCCACCATGAGATTGACGACGTCGATATTAGGCTGGAAGATCAGGTCTTCGCCTAGGTCATCAAGTTGGTGGCAGAAAAGCTCCGCCAATCTTGCTCGTACGGGAACGGAGAGCTTGACGGCCAGCTCTTCGTACTCGCTCCCCCTGAATCTGTCGTTTGATGTCCTAGGTGGGACGGTTATAAAAATAGTGCTTATGGTATTGTTGTACGGTCCGCTGCGCACGCTGCGCATTCTTCTTGCGAATCTCTTCGGTGAACTTATGGATATCTTCTCTGTCCAGGTGGCTATCGACTTGGTAGTTTCCGTGCTTGAGTTCTGCGCGCCGCTCTATTAGCTTGACAGTATCTAGGCCTGGCGGTAGATTTGCCACATGTCCTTTGGCACTATGTTGGTAATCGCTTGGGGATCGCGGGTGAGACTTTGGACGAGCAGCCGGAATAGCTGGCTCTGCTTCTCTTCCCCTAACAATGCGTTCTGAAGGTGGAAGTGGGCAATGTCGTTGAGGTAGGCCTGGCGGAATGTCGCAAACCGAGGGTCGTGACGCATTATCTATATAGTCACGCACCGAATCGGGAGCGTCCCCTTGAAATAGAAATTAGGTCAACGCCGTTTTCAACATGCCGGTAACGACAAACATAAACATACCATTGGCAGCATTGCTGGCATCTCTCCGTGAAAATTGAAGTGTCTATGGCCTCTTATGTCTCTAGCGTTTAGAGTCTGGGCAGCAGTGTCGTCTAGGAGCTTAGAATAGAGTATGGCTTTATCTTTAGAGAGGGTCGCTTTGTTGTAGCGGCGGAAGACTGGAATAATCAATTTGGATGTCATCTAGTGGAGCGGAAGAGGGTATTTGAAGTACGGCGGCTCTGATGCAAAATCGCCGATGCGGTAGTGAGGCTTGGCGCATCGAAGGCATCGTTGTGGAGGGCGAGAGCGAGGATTGTAGAGACGGCACAGAAGAGAAGCTTTCTGGTGGAAGTGAAGAAGATCATGGTCCTGCAGGAAACAAAAGACTGTCAGCATATGTAATTAAATGTACCACATTACGGCGGATCACCTACGGCCTAGGACTGTTATTGGCCCCCTTGTGGTGAATAAACTTGATGGCCATGGCCCTAAACCTTTTTCTTCTATGGATGCCATCTGCTGGCAGCTCAGTCTCATCCCAAAAACCCGAACGCATTCTCCATGAGAATCGACAATATCCACTATGCAGCCTTGTTCTCCGTTCGGCATCGAAACTGCTCCTACAAACGTTGACACTGAAATCAGAGTTGTTTGCCGGTATTGAACTGTGATAATGATCAGCCATGGACGATATAAAACCACACCGGTCAGTACTGGCATTATGAGTTTGCTCTTTCTCACAACCCAGAAGAAGAAGCTGCAATATCCGCCACTCAATGAGCCGTCAGATGTCCAAAGGCATGGGGACGAATTGCAGCTCGACTAAGAGCTGCATTAACCATAGTGCTACACCAGGACGGAGCCGGCCACCAACACTGGTCTCAATTAGGCGCGGTTCATTGAGTGCATTGTGATATCATATATATTCTGTTCTACAATGATTATAATCATTATTGTAGCTTTATCTATCATTTTGGAGTTCTCACATGCAATAATTGCTTATTATCAAAACGGCAGATGAATAGATTGGCTGTTCATATATGAAAATCATTCTTATTCCCTACGCTTTCAAAAAATCATATGAGGTTGAGGGTTCCCATAAAGGAAAGTGAATTAACATATGGCTTCGCACATGGCCCAGTAACTCTACCAATATCCCACTGTATTTTAAGCTTTAGAAATGGCCCAAAAGCATTCCTGGGCTTTGATGAGTACGACTACTATCGTTATATTCGAACCTGAAGTTGGGATGAGCTGGTGCGTTAAACTGGAAAACATCCGGACGTGGTTCGGTCACAAGTACCAGACTCTTAAGGTATCGAAACCAACCTGAGGCGATGGTAGGGAAAATAAGGTTATGCTGGTATCGAGGCACCTGGCTAGGTAGGTACCAAGTTCCCGATACAACAGGGGCTCGGGGGTTCAGGACGGAGCCAACAAACCAACCTATATTAGCAATCTTGGTTAAATTATGCAGACTTCCATTGTTCACTGAAGTCGCTTTATCAACGCCGTCCCTGCGCGGGTGGGTAGGTACCTACATTCATAAAGTGCATAAAGGAATGTGATATATCCTAACGTTAGATCTTCATGGCATCAATGGATATAAATTCTCAAGACCTGACTCGGACATGTAGACGTTGAGTGGCTGAAACAGGCATGTGGTTCAATCAAAAGCTCAATCGTTGTCATCGTTGACTCCTGTGAGACCTGGAAGTCACACATGTCTTCGAAGTACAATCACTCATTACAATGATTATCGAGGAAACAGCCGCTGTTATGTAGGTTGCCGAGTATAGGAAACTATACAAACATGGGATACATCAAGACCTTTCGAACTTGAGCTTGATACTTCGCAAATATTGAGGCATAATCAACATGCTCGAAGCTCTAACGTTTGATACTTAGCCGAGTCATTTTCAAGGCCTCTCTGTACCAAGCCGCGCAATACAAAGAACATGCCTAGCTTGTGGTTATGTTCAGGCACAAGTAAGCAGCAGGTACTTAAGTATATATATCGAGGACATCTATTCGGTATCCAAGGCTTTGGGGTATTAAATATAATTGTCGTTCAAGGTGGCAAACCACACTGGTAGCCAATCCCGGAACCCATGAAGTGCTCAGTCGAGCTCAATGTCTTAATCTAGATGGCATCATATAAGCAACAATTTGTTCTTCTGATCTTCCAGTATCCTCGGCGAATATGTTATGGGTGTCTATCTGGACGAGATCGATCTCGAATCGGACAGAAGGACATTCGAAAAGGTATGATGCAAGCGTAGCGGTATGCGTGCTTTCGACAGTCAAGATTTCTCGAAAGTCTGCGCATATCATAACTCTTGCCTTGTATCTTTCAATAGCCTCTCAATTAAGCTTCTATGTATAGGTAGACATATCTCATTGGCAATGGCTTGCTTGTGGCTTCCGCATATTTTGATACACCTCCGTGTGCCTCACCGGTATACACCCCCTTCAACTTGTATAGCTGTTCTGAAAGGCTGCCGAAAGTGAGCTTCGTCGCGCTCTCATAAAGCAAGTTGAATGCTTATTTGAATGCGTCATTCAATATGCATATCTTATTTGCACTCCCACATGCATCTACAGAAATAACGTTCGAACATTCCCTGAAAGATGCTGACGCAACCATCCTCGATGAGGCTGGAGCTATGCACAGCCTCATGCCGTCGCCTGATAGTAGTTGTTGTCATGGGATTGCTAGCGATCTCTTTCGTCGACGCTTTGATCAGTTGAAGGTCATGATTTGCGCAAGATGTCGAACGTCGTTGGCTGTGAAGGGCTTTCATCAACATCGGCAGCTGCTGCCCCCAGTAAGTGGGTGAAGCCACCCGGAACTATCAATTCGGATGATCGTGAAAGTGTAGCGTATGTGATGATATTTGCTCAGTGCACCAACAAACATGGCCCCCTTTATAAACTGAGCTGGCGACCTGCTAGGCGGAAAGCTAGTCGTCGGCATCCGGGTCCGTCTTGGCCCATTACTGACAAAGACTGAGTTCGTCAGAAACCCAATGGCTTATGCTGCTTAACCACGAGGCGGAAGTGCGAGACATGCGAGAGCTAAGCGAGAGAGAATAGAGATATATGCAAGACACAAGGTCAAAATTCGCTTTTCGGTCTTCGCACCCTTGGTTCAAACAGGTCCACTTTGGTATTGGAAGGAATTTACACATGAACCCCTGTATTTTCCCCATTAGAGCTCGATTCCTAGTAGTTAGTCCTACTTTAACCAGATACCGAATTAGCCACTGGCCAGAAGGCTTCTATGGTAGGCAGCAAGAAACCTACTAAAATCAAGAGATTCCTTATAAAAGAGCTAAAATTTAGGATCTAATTTGGTCAGATTCGGCCCTCATCACCTCCTACTAGAGAACTTACTGGAGAGAATTCAGGGGTTTAAGTGTAGGTCGGTTCCTGTTTTATCACTCTGACACCCACAGATCCCCGTCCTTCCTGCATCTGAAGAAAGTTGTTCATGGAAGAAAATGCAAAACGGTTCCGGTTACCCGGCGCTGGAGTGTTGTCTCTTGCTAAGACATTATCATCGCTGCTGAAGTAGGTGAAAGTCTCCTTTTTGGGAACAGGTTCAACATGTCTTGCAGACGTCATGTCTCGAGGATTACCTTTGTCCACTCCAGACGGACGACGCGTAAAGGCAGGAGGAGAAGATGTGCGTTCATCCCCCAAGCGATTACGCAACTGCTTGTTGGGTGTTCTCTCCTGGTAATTCATCTTGAATGGTCACGGAAAAGTCGAGCGGCACGGTTTTCCTATTTGTTCTCGATAAGTCTTCACCATCAAGCAATGATTTTGCTGGAAGCTGGCATGCCAGATACTTACAATGATATCCGTTAGAAATTCTCGAATGACCAATATCATGATATGACGAGTACGCAACACGTATCGTTTGATGCCTTCTTCGCGGTGATTTGCCGTTGATTGATCGGGAATATCTACAAAGAACTGCCAAAGGGAGAACTAAATATTAGTAAACTTCTTTATTTGGTTCTGGAATAAATTCATGCAAGCAGGAAGAGTTTCAGCACATCCTACTATTCCCTTAAGTTCTGGGCACTGATCGCCAGTTTTATGCACCTGGCAAACACTATCAATATGGATAATAATACCTTCCCAGCGCCACACCATACACGAGATACTAGGTACCTGGTAATTTCTTTCAATACTAAAAGCCCGATACTCCTACATCTTCTTCCAAACTCCAAATTGTGATGGCGTCTCGCTTCCTCTAACAGCAATGACATCGGCCTTTCTGTGTCCACAACATTCAATCAACTAAGGCAATAGACATGCCCCGAGATTCCTGGTATGTATAGTTCTTTTAATCGGCCGAATAACGCTAACTCGTTTGAGATCGTCATCTCAGTCTTCAGAAGGGGCAGGCTCCCGCGGCCTCGAATAGCGTGCATTCAACTCAGTTCAACAACAACAACAACAACAATTGACAGGGCGATAAAGCTTATTGTCCCAACTCTCAATATATTTGATTAAACGACACAATCAAACCGTGATTTACATCATTAGGAGCGACAGAGTAAGGTAACTACTACAACTTTTTACAATAATAAGGAACGCTCAAGCCAGCAACTAACTATTGACAGTGGCTACTATCAAGCACCCAACATCATTTTACTTCCGCCTACCTCCTTCAACCATTTACCATTTCCCTCCTATGGTCTATCCTCGCTCTACTCTCCTTCACCCACATTATATGCCAGCGCAGCGTAAGTCAATGACAGATTCTAACGCAGGCCCTTTTTAAACTAATTCGTATTATACCAGACTTCATCGTGGCTATACGTACACCTTTCATTTTCATCCTTATGTCGGTCATCTTACTGTAAGCAGACGATCCTCTATGGGCAAGGTCGCCATTATCGGAAACTGATTATTCGCAAGGCACTCTTGTTCATGATGGCACCATCCATGGATCTCAAACATACCGACCTGGGAAACTTCTCCAATGCTATTAGAGATATGTCTGTCTGTTGGTTGAACAATGATATGGACCCTATCGCTGTCATTCAATTTGTCGATGACGTCAAGGTGAGACACCAAAGATGGGAGCAGACTTTCCATGAAATCGGCCTAGGCGTAAAGAAGATCTGGGCACATCCGACTACCCAAAAGGCCCTAAAGGCCTACAAGTTCGAAATGTAGCTCTTCGATGGCAAGAAGCTGGCATGGGGCCCTGCTCTTGTGGACCATGGCGAGGCTCGTTTCACTGTCGACCTTGACGAGGGTAAACGCCTTGCTGGTGGGAAAGCTCGTGAAGGCGGCACAAGAAAATGTGATAATTCCTTAAGTACCTATCATCTCATTGGACCCCATTCCATCTACGCAAGACCCAGTCTCCCTCTGTGACAAAGCGACTTGGGCCTGGCAATTGAGCTCGTCAAAAGATTTCCCGAACTAAGCTGGCCAGAAGTGAACATATCAGCCGCAAATTGCACCTACTAAACAAGAGACGACTTTGGGACAATTGCTCGACTTCTACCCTGCAAGGCTTGAATGGGCTTGAGCCCGGCAAAAAGACTGGGTCTGCTGGGTTGGTTGATATTTGCCTCTGTTACCAGTAAGAACACCACTTACTCTGCTTCCTGGCTTCCTACACGCACAATTGATTGTGACTCCAGGACATCGTCTTGAGCTCTAGTGCTGGTGGAGAAGGATACATTCACTGCCTTCTGCGCGTCGTTGAGACAGCCTACGAATCCTTCCATGATTAGCTTGGAAGCTCGACGACTTGCCAAGGGCTTTCGTAAAGTCGGATTCCTGGTGTTGAGAGTCACACTGCTCAGTCGCCAAGCGCTCTTCCTTTCCGATTCTAAAGAATGACTCGTCAGCCAAAATCATGGCTGCTAAACATCAAAACGAAAGCGGCGATACTGCCCCGGAGGCAAAGAAGCCCAAGCATGGCTTCTGTGAAACTGGTTCTTCCCTGCATCCAGCAATTCACCGCATTCGTCGTGCTGCCATCCCAATTCGATCCTTGAGCCCATCTCCCGAGCCTTGAGATATCTTTTCAAGAAATGGTGATCCTTTATTCGTCAAGTCGAGCTTGTCTTCTTCCTTCTTGCCTTTGCTTGTTCAGAAAGAGATACATTTGTTAACATCATTGTACGTCGAACAGCAACCTAACCACGCTGGGAATGGATATGCTACTACAGCGATCCAAGGATAAAATCGTATCGGCGACCGTGGAATAAGGTTGGCATGATAGGCTTGTTCATCGATCCTAAAGTTAGTGGGGAGGGTCTTGGTAGAGCTAAATGCCTGCTTGGCGATGCGGCCTGTCTACGTAAACATGTGCCTGAGTCGAATACACTTCAGTGGGAGACCTTTGCTTTGCACCAGATAGTACATCGGCATTCACTGAGTATAGACGTAAGAGGCTGAATGTGTTTCATGATGCCCTTGTCTGCAAGACTTTTCAGCGCTCGAAAGAAAAGAAGAAAAAATCTGACCCAGCTTTATCGTTCCTTTCTCAATGACAATAAGTGGACGAAGGGTAATTTCATTCTCCTTTCGTCACTATGCTGTTCCTGCCTACCTGTAATGAAGATGACGGTTAATCGGTCCGCTTATAAACTATGAGCATCATAATCAATATTCCCTATTACCCTCCGGATGACGAAAAGGAAGATGTGACGGATGTCCCGTATAACAATTAACATAGAATATAAAGGGGATAATGAACTCTGCAAACTGAGTTTTGTCGCATTTGGCGATACCAGGGACAAAATGTAGACCAACTGGAACGCCAGACACGTTAGCCATACTGCCTTCATTTTTGTTCAGGCCGTTCAACATTAACTAGGGGAGCTCACAACCATGCCCATCAAATACGTTCTTTGAACCAACAAGTTCCTGTAGTAGGTTGGCATGCATTAGACGCTGCTTGAGAGAATAGAAATAACAGAACATGTGAATGCTATTATTAAATGGCGGATGATTGATAGATGGAAACGGTCCATTGCATTGATGACATGCGATTCAACCCTTTATTATCTCCTGAGATATATTCTTCTGTATCAAAATGGGCTTCGTATTTATTACATGACAGTTAGGTCCGTACGACTGATCGGGTCAACCTCTGGTAACCCCGGGTCATAAAAGGAGCTGCAGGCACCTTCCTTAGCTAGGTAGGCATCGAATTTATCCCTCTCATCAAAAGACCTAATATCTTGACCCTTGTGAGACATTATATCTCTCAACAGATGGTAGTAATTGCTGTTTTCGATCGCGTGACAATGCCTCGCTATGACCGTCGAAGCTGCCCTAGCTTGCAGTCGCGATGAGCGAAACGACAATAGGATCCGGGTCCGTAGGCCCGTCAAACCGACAGATCTAAATGGCCGGCTTCCTATGACTTCGTCAGTGAAAGCGGATTTCCATACCCCATCTAAGCCTTCTCTTCGTCAGTCCTTCGGGACCGACCCAGGAAACATGATAACCACTACACCACACGACCTGGTTAGTGTAAAATCTAGCTTATTGCAGTACTAATCGGGTGACTCGCAAAGTGGCCAGATCACGACAACCAGTCATGTTCCGTCCATAGCATCTGTTGTAAGTGTCGAAGAGGTGATTCATTTAATATTAGCAAGCTTTGTTCACACGCCAACCCCTCTGTCAAGTCCCAGTATGCTTCAATGACCTATAATTCTCTGATCAAGACACAGAGGAAGGTTCTACTCGAGCGTCCTTCAGAACACAAAAATACAGGAAAACTACAACCATGGGGCCACAGATTAAACAAGGGTATTTCGAATCCCAGTAATGGCTTAATTCTCTCTTCAAAAACCATTGCCATTGCATCTGAAAACCACGTAGTTATTCATGATGTCCTGAACCTCGACTCTACTCTCGATATCGTCAAGGTCACACTCGACATTCCCGTGAAAGTGTTCGAAGAGGGCCTCCTAGGGAAGGTGAGAAAACGGTCAAGTTTACTCTGTCTGTCACCTGCAAAAGTCGGTATCATTGAACCACCCAGGCATCCTAGATCAGGAGTTCAAAAGGAAGGCTTCCTAAGGTTATCCTAAGACTATCCTAAACTTCCCTAAGTCATCATAAACTTTCCTAAAGTCATCATAAGCTCTCCTAAGTCGTTCTATCATTTAGTGTCGAGGTCATATTAGTTCGCATAGTGAGCAGTGCTTGGAATGTTAAGAGTAAGAGGGGAATTATTAGGGGGAGATATCCTAATTCGCAAGAATAATATAGTCACTTTTAAGAAGGACAGTACTACTTATGTTCCTTTGGACAATAGCACGTAGATAATGGCAAAGCGAAACCTGGATCGGAAGCGGGAAATGCGAAGATAATGCAAACCATGAGACAAGGGGTGTAAAGCAAACTCTCCATTGGAAGGCATATATACATAATAGTAACATCCAAGCCCATCCTTCAATTTACGATAGATTAAAGCGCTTATGAAGCCTTTGGCAGAGCCGTGGCGGAGTGTCGTTTCAAACCCTTTCACAATGGTGTTCTCCTGAAAAGCTACTGAAATGCTGGCAGCATAAGCAAGGCACCATAGAGCTCATCTCTAATACATGGAAACCCGGTTGCAGAACCAACTACTTCGTGACTAGCATCTGGTGTGGGCATCAAACATTGAATGCATTGTTCGATCTGCTGGCGACAGCTTCGTTCTTCATTATATACCAAACTAAACTTTCGCATTGGCTAAGCTAATGAACTTATGACTGAAGAGGCTTACCCATGCCTCCATAAGTGATCATCTTTGTAATCTGATACTCGCCAATTCCATACAGGGAGCCCTCGCGACCGAAGCCACTCTCCTTTACACCACCGAACGGCGCAGCAGCGTCAGAAATGATACCAGTGTTGACTCCAACCATTCCAACCTCAAGAGACTCAGCAATGCGGTGCACACGCTCAATATCTCGAGAGAAGAAATAGCCTGCCAGACCAACATCAGTGTTGTTGGCCATCTTGACAACTTCTTCCTCTGTCTCGAAGGGGAAGAGACCGGCGACAGGTCCAAAGGTCTCTTGTGAGGCCATGTCCATCTCAGGGGTCATGTCACGGATGACAGTGGGTGCGTAGAAGTTGGAGCCAAGGTCGTTGAGTCGCTTGCCTCCGATGGTGATCTTTCCACCCTTCTTCTCAGCATCCTTGACATGAGCCTCAACCTTCTCAATAGCTCGATCGTGAATCAGAGGTCCATGTGTGACACCTTGGTCAAAACCGTTGCCTACGCTGAAAGACTTGACCTTCTCGGTAAACTTGGACACAAACTCATCATAGATTCCGCGCTGGACGTAGATTCGGTTGGCGCAGACACAGGTCTGGCCTGAAGAGCGGAACTTGGACGCGATAGCTCCAGCCACAGCAGCATCCACATCAGCGTCGTCAAATACGATGAAAGGGGCGTTGCCACCAAGCTCCATGGAGAGCTTCTTGAGAGTACTAGAAGACTGCTTCATGAGAAGCTTGCCGACACCGGTGGAGCCGGTGAATGAGACCTTGCGGATGGTGGGGTCGGATGTGAGAAGCTCACCGAGTTCGGGGGTGTTCTCATGTGAAGTCACGACATTAACGACACCCTTTGGGATGCCTGCGCGGTGAGCCAATTCAGCCAAGGCGAGTGAAGTAAACGGTGTTTCGGCAGGGGACTTTGCGACGACTGTGCAACCTGCTGCCAAGGCTGGTCCGATTTTTCGTGTGATCATGGCGGCAGGGAAGTTCCATCTAAAAATGTCAGTTATGAGTCTTGCAAGAGTGAAACTATCTTACGGTGTGATGAGACCGCAAACTCCAACGGGCTCCTTGATAGTCCAAACACGATTTGCAGGAACCGAGCTAGGAATTGTGTCACCATATACTCGTGGCGCTTCTTCACTGAACCACTCAAGGAAGTTTGCAGCATATGTTGTCTCGCCCTGGGCATCGGCGATGGGCTTTCCATTTTCCCAGGTAATGATCTTTGCGATATCCTCGGCGTTGGCGGTCATTTGATCATACCAAGCGCGCAATAGCTTTGAGCGCTCACGGCCGGTTTTGGCGCGGAATGAAGGAAACGCATCTGCAGCAGCGCTAATGGCTAATTGGGTATCTTTGGAGTTGAACTCGGGGCATGTTCCGATGAGTTTGCCAGTGGAAGGATCTACATTGTGAGTACATGAGATTGATAAGTGAGAGAGTGAAGCTCACCATGGACTTCGAATGTCTTGCCGGAGCCAGCCTTGACCCATTCGCCATTGACATAACAAACATCCTGCTTGAGGAGTGATGGATCTTTGAGCTACACAAAGTTAGCTCTATGATCAACCGTTTAGACTGCAAGAATTATACCTTTGGGGGAGCGACATTGGAAGCGCTCCTTGTAATCATCAATGAGATAACTGGAGATTGTCGCAGAGCTCCTCGCGATGGAGCAGCCAATCGTTGAAGAAGAGCCATCTTGATATCTCAACTCACTACCAACTGAACTCAAATAGACAATATAGTCAATCGATTGAAGAGATAAAGGGTCGAGATTGACAGATTTACTGCTGCCGATGACGGATCGAGGTTGGTGATGGTGGGGTGACGTCTTGTTAAACAAGCTTGTGTGGGGTTGACTAAAGCTCCCGGAGCCGGTATCTCGACCACTATCGGCTCCGGCGGGACCGGCACAAGAGATATCGGCATGTTATTACCAAAGGCCGATTAATTAACCTCAAATAGTTCAATAGTGAGTCAGTCCTTGCAGGTTCTTAACGTTCTTCAGCCTAGAGGCTTTGACACCGGTAATTCTTGTGGAGCTATTCAAGCTCTCCCCGTATTTCACCAATTGACCGGGCCGTGTTTACGAAATAGGCAACTCTGCGCGAAGGATAGCTCATGTAAATCTCAGTGAATTTAACGGTTAATGGAAGTTGAGCCTCGTTGGGCTATGTATGTTCCTTGGTATATCATCCTTAACTCCAAACACCCAATGCTAATTAATGATAGTGGTCCATTCATGACATGTCCTAAATTTCATCCCAATACTTCTTCAACCATAGTATCTGTTTTGCTGAGATCGTAGTGGCAGTTGGCGATCCAGAGTGTGGAAAGCCTGTGTTCGAGGAGTATATGGCATCGCTCGAATGCTGGGAGTCTTCATGTTGTGCATCTCCCAAACACCTCCCTTCGGCTCCGAAGTCGTAGAACCATCTTCCTCATCGTCGTCGTCCGAAACGTCGTTGATCTTGTTTGGAAGCATGGCGTAGATGCTAAATGCCAGATTGAAGACATAGATCATCCTAAATCATCGTTAGTAATGTTGAGGCATATGTACATGTTATAGACCACTTACATCATGTAAACAGCGATTACAAGCGAGTATCGAGCAATCATACAGCTCTTGTACTTTCCATAGGGCTTGGCAATATCGCATCCAATACGGTAGTACCAAGCTGCAGGAGCAGGATATCGTGAATCGGTGTAGTCAGGCCCAATGGTTCCATATACGCAGACGGTGTAGAGGGCGACCATGCTGGTATTGATGAACGTGGCGAAGATGGGATACCAAACTCTCATGATAAAAGCAGTAAGCTTGCCGAGGAGGAAGAAGAGTGAGATGATCGAAATAGCGACATTGAAATTGGTGAAACTGTTCATGTTAGTCAATTCCTCAGACACAGTTAGAGGTACACTCACGTTCGTGTCCAGATGAGAGCAATCTTTGGTTGAGGCTGATAATTGGCATAAGCGTAGAGAGTTCTAGCCGGGTTCGAGTTGAGAGGAGGATCATGCTCCCAGCCAATCTGCCACATATCGGTACGGTAGAGATTTGGTTGAGAGATGCCAAAGATGACCAGAGCAGGCACAATTCCAATCAGCTCAAGAGGCATTAACCACCATGTTCCCTTTCTCGATATGCGAGGCCATTTTCGGAATAAGACGCGGTAATTCTTGGCCTTGGCTGGTTTGTCTGTGTGCTCTTGCTGAGAGCGTTGGAAGGTTGGGAACTTCATGTTGGCGATTAATCTGGTCTGACTGTCTGGTGGTGTTGGAGTTTAATGTTGCGCTGTGTCGGCTGCTGGTAGCAGCTATAAACTGTTCCACATGCGATATCGTACAGAGTCTTGATTGAGACCGATAAATTCGTCTTTGCTGGCCGGCAGCTCAATTCAATAAAGATGTAAAAAGCATTCCTTGGACGGCCAGGTTGGGGTGGGCAGCCGTTTAAGGGCCTTGGAGGTGGCCATCAGCTGAGAGGGGCCCCCATGTTGGACAGCTGTGAGAGGCTCTCGAGGTGAGAAAAGCCGCTGTGATGCTGCGTGAAGGACCTGTGGCCAGCCTGTGAGCGGGCGCCTGGAGTGATACTCTGATGCCAATCACTGCATCTCGAGGATGAGCATCAACGGCGTGGGCCAATCAGATCGGTGAGGTGAGGTGCTATCACCACTCGTCTCCTCTGTTAAGCGCCCGGGTGGAAATCATGAGATGCCCGATGGTGATGGAGTAGCCCGATTGGTTGGGTTGGAGGTTGGAGATGCAACCTCATGTGGCTGACTGGCCAATCAGGGCACAAGAAAACAGTTCAAGATGTGCTCTCGAGTGAGAGACGCAGGGATTAGGAACCGCCAATTCTTTGCCGTCAAGTGCTCGCAGATTCAATTCCTGTGATCTACCGCAAGAACAGAAAGAACGGGTATTTTATGTTGGTTCTTGGCCAGATTCGTCAAGATTTAGCCGCCCGTTACCATCTGTCAGTCGAGTCTCTATGGAAATGGCCTCAGTTGTGGTATCTCGACATACCGATTATCCGTGATCGAGGCTGATAGCATTCAAGGTGTAACATTCTGAGTTTGCTTGCTGCGAAAGGTGTCATTTGCGAACATCATCAGTCAGCTGGCGGCTAACAATAGTAACGGTGATGACACTACGCAACCCACAGATTACTCTGCAGTAGACTCACATCTCCAAACCGAGTCATGCCATGTCATAAACAGCTCGAGTCTAAAACTTTGGATCGAAATGAGGGCATTCCCAACTCCTGATGGTATTTACCCAAAATTGGTAGTTTAGACTCTGGCCCGGGCTTTCGGACTGACCATGCCATGTGTTATGCCCTAACTATCAACGATCTTTCACAAGAGCTAAGACATGTAGGGAAGAAAGCATGCTTGGTTATCAGGGTCCTAACTTAATTGTTAGTGAGGATAAGAGAGCCACTTGCTTCCGCATATCATCGGCCACTACTGAGAAACTCCCGCAAGAATATCAAGATCTTGACTAATCTCCTTGACTGGTGTCGGCTACCACCAGCAACCCAGCCATAAAACCCGTCAAGAATGCACTTGAACCAGCCACAACGTCACTCGAGAGGAGACTCCGCCGTCACGGCAATAACGGGATGGCTTACACGGGAAGAAGCCGTCAGAAGTCACGAATTTTACTGAACAGTATCCACACCACCTCGCTTTTGGAAATTCCATGCGACGGATCATGAGGGTGGGGCAGCCGAGCTACCGGAAGGTTATTCTTCTACCAACTCCAACTCGGCCGAATGGACCATCATCAACGGAGGAGAGAAGACGCAAAACCAACATTACCTTGATCTTTGCCTCATGAAAAACTCAAAGACTCCGAAGCTCGGTCCGAGTATTCACGATTCAATGGCAGAGGCTTAAGGATTGGGCTTTTTTTGGCGCCAAAATTCAAGGTCAACAAGGGAAGCCAAGACCAGGGGCAGACTTCGAGACCGTGTTCTCTGGAGATAGCCATTCTCAAAGACAGGGGGAGCTGAAGACATGCGGGGCCTTGACTTTGAGCTCAAGGCGTGGGTAAAACAGACCGTTCTAGAACTCGTTGATCGTCATAGGCATTTCTTGATGTGGGAGGGTGAGTTAGTTCCACGCATCCGTTCCACAGGCCCAAACCATTTTATCCATTGTCTGAAGAGATCGGGATTTTTTCACGTTCTTTTTTTTCCCTTCGACCCTTTCCTTCTTAGCTCTGGTCTAGTTGATGACTCGCTCCGTCGATACGTATTTCCTTTTACGTTACCCCTTCGATTAGAATCTGCATGTGTTGATATGATATTGCAGCAATACGAAATACATGCCTCGGTAGTTTCGTGTCAAACACACCTCCACCCTTGTCAGCCCACTCCAGGTCAAGGACAAGTACACTAATTACATGTAACTCAGGGTCTTTGCTTTGAGTGAGAGTGAACTTGTGACAAGTCAGCCATTAAAAAAGTGCCCGGTTGGTAGGGTTGAACTGCTAAATGGGCCCAGCAGCCATGGAATGTCTACGGTCAGTGGTCAAATACTGGTGCCAAGATGTTGCACCGATGGTTCCGCCGCTGTTAATGTTTGATACAGGGATATTTTGTCAATATTGATTGTGCATGTCTTGTCGAGGCTCTCGGCTCTCATCTCTCTCCCGTCTTGCAGTTCCGTCCCGATAAAAGAATTGGATGGTTCGATACGATGATCGACAAGAGAGAAGGGAAAAGGCCTGCTGATGGATCACTAATTACATAGTACTAGCAAAGATTTGCCAAAGTCTAAAAGCTTGTTCGATTCCCATGCCTTTTTGAAGCGGGACGGACTAGGTCCGGTGGTCTGGGTTCGTCTGTAGCGGGCAGAAAAGAAGCCGGCCGCATATGTATGTGTGGGACTGCTTACTATAGACGGCAGACGGCAGACGGCAGACGGCAGATGTGGTGAAGTTGTTGGTGGAGATGGCATTGGCACTCGGGAGAGTGAGAGAACTCAAGATGTGAGCACTATGCATACTATCATGACTGATAGTTCACTTCTTCCACATCAAGTAACTCCATCAGTGATCATGAGTTTGTGTCCAGGTGGTCAAATCCCTTGTCTTATCCCCTGTCAGCTTCAAGGACCCAGACCTCGAAAGCGGGCAGGTTATTTGTTGCCAAGATGATGGATGTCCACTTACAAGCCGCCTCACGCCAATTCCCCGTCCTAATCTCCATGAACGAATATGACCCTGGTATTAAACCCCGGTTCACTTCCTGAATGGCTTGCCTTGGCCCTCTATGAGTTGTTGTGTTTTATGCTGTGCTGTTCCGTGCTGTTTTGTGATAGACTCAGAGTCAAGCTGAAACTGAAGCAGATCAATGGGATGAAGCCCGTCTTTGTATGATTTTCTCCGTAAGCAAATGTTGATCCTTTCTTCCTCTAGATTAGACATGTCTATCTATCATGCTCCCTTTTGTCTATCATTTACTCGTCTGACGTGAATGTCACCACTAACTAGTCTTGTGCTCGTTCCTTTGGAAATGCTATCCCATTCTCCCACCCATTATTTCCATACCCATCCAGTCAGTTTATGTGGCCTGGTCTGGTCTGAAAGCTCAAATGCGGAGCAGTGATCAGCCTCTTTCCATCCTTATCTTACTCTAACTGCCACTTTATTCGTTCATCTTGTTAAACTTCTTTCCTTCATCGACACTCTATTGTGACGTTGACTGACAACACCCGTACATACATTCTTGCCTTGTCCCCTCTCTCGCTCGGCTGACAAACAACCGAACCGACGTCAAAATATCTGGAGCCTTTTTCTCACTGACAATTGCGGCTCTTTTTACCGGCCCCAATCTGTTACTGTTTCTACTGTACCTACGCTACGCTACCTCTACGCTACACGCCAGGACCCATTCGTTCAGTCAATTTTAACTCCGAATCCGCCACCCAAAAACCAACCTAACTCAGAGTCTCCATTCGAGTCAATATTCGGCCGAATGCTTTCGTCAAATTGAATCGTATTATTCATTGGCTCCCTCTTTCCCTTGACAAACCGATTGAACCAAACCATCCATCCCTCAAAATCGAGTCAAGCTTTTAGCACCTACTGCGCTCCACCCACTGAAAGACCCCCCGGACTACGGCCATAACACAGCACCGTACAGCCGACTTTTAGCTGCAAATCCCCCTGCAACTCATCCCCTCTGATCCCATATCCCATCTCGATCCCCATCCCATTTCTTCCCCCCTCCCCTTCAACCTAACATCGCGGCGGCTGTATTTCTCAACATATACTTAGCTGCCCGAGCTTTTACTGCGCCGCGCATCAGGTACTATACCTCCTACTGACTGTTGCAGCTGCCCATACAGTTAGGTACTGCATCAGAGTCTCCCCACTTCATAGGCAACTTCCACCACTGTTTTCGCTCGCATACGGTACCTTACCTTACTTCACTCATACGCTACGCACACCCGACCTCGCAGGCACGCCCCTCATCGCATCTTGAATCTCGATCTCTTGCTGGCCGCTGCGCAAGGCCCAAAGCCACTGGCCACTAGGTGCCGAGGACTCGCAGTCCCTCCGGGGCTTCGATTCCCTCCTCTTCTCCAGGCGCCTTCATGCAGCGGCTTCCTAGTTTCAACTCTCCCTCGTCTCCTTCTGCCTCTGCTTCTTCGAATTGTCCCGTCGCAGACTCAACCGATCAAGAGAAGGAGGGTCACAAAAAGCATCCACCACCAACCTCTACCTCTACCTCGGGTTCGGTACCCACATTTACGACTCCAAGCAACACCACTACCACCAGCACGACTAACACTGAGCTTCATACCGACGTTTCAGTTCTCGCTGCCGGGGAAGCTTACAACAGGGTCACCATAACTGGCAGGAAAGCCTACGATTCTCGCCGCATATCAGAGGTCCCAGCATGGAGGCACGAGCTTAGCATACCAAACTTGGCCTCAATCGCGCCCTTTTCTGACTTTGCGGCCTCCTTCTTGCCAGCTTCGACTACCGGCGCTATTCACCAGTCAAGTTTGTCCACCGCCGGTAGGCCACGAGGTCTTAGCGCGTCCACGCGAGGGCTTCCACAGACTCCCATTCTGGCGAAGCGTCCCTCCGCCCCGTCCAGAGGTGAACCCGTCATGCACCCATCACCCATCAAGAAAGCCCGCACTGGGGCATCACCACCTCGAAAGGTCGAACTTCCTAACCAAACCGCGAATCTTGATCCCTCAGCAAGGGGAAAGCAGCAAGGGCCCCTCTCGCCTCTCTTCTTCTCTCACACACCAGCAAGGCACGTTCATCGCCCGGCCAGTTTTCCCGCAACCGATCCCGCTGTTTCTATGCTTTCACGTATGCGAGAGGACCCGGCTGGCGGTGTCACGACTTTGAAGTTGCCTCGCGCAAGTGTGAGCTCCATCAGCCCAGGAAGATCAGAGAGCACTCCTGGTAGTTGGGGGTCTTCAATGGACGCTCCCGCTCATACCACGACTCCAGACAGTCGTAGTCTCCCTCCTGGGCTGCAGATGCTACAAGGTGTTGGTGTTATTGAGTTTCTGGAGCAGGATGAGAGGCCTACCTTTTTGATAGACCTGGACAATTCCGCCAATGCTAGCCGTGCCGGCTTACATATTCTCTACTATAATGCGTCTCTGCGAGGCGCACATGAAGTGCTCCAATATCTGTCAGTGGACCAAGAAGATGCCAGTGCAGATACAGATTTTGGTCGCTTCAAATCATGGATTATGACACAATCCAAAGCTCGTGTATCAGTTGATACTCACAAGTATGCTGGCATTACCTGGACTTTATCAACATTACGTCGACGATTTCGCTTTGTTAGCGCCCAGACTAGTTTTGCTACTCCTCGGCCCAGTACTGCATTACCACTCATTGACGAGACAGCTGCTTCGGAAACGAGAAGTGCCGGACACTCACCACAGATGCCCGTTACTCCCGACGCTGAACTTGTTGATGCGCCAGATTATTTCGGTGATGCTGAACCTCTCGATGCTAATTTTGATCGCGCAGATGTTGATGCGATTATGGAGGGAGGTGATACGAGACTACACCCTGACGAATTTACAAACCAAGTCTTCCAATCGCAACCCGCTAGATCAATTTTCGACTGGACAAAAATACCAGTGTCGGATTCACTTCCTCCTCACATAAAGTTTGCTCGTTCTGTAGATTGGGCGGCTACTCCTCTTGGGCCAATCGAAGATTGGCCTGCGGATCTCAGATCCATGTCCAACCTCATCATGGGCAGCCCACACCCCGCTGCCATGTACTGGGGTCCCCAGTGTGTGATCATCTACAACGAAGCTTATCTCGACCTTGCAGGCCAAAAACATCCCAAGTTGATGGGGTCTTGCTATATGGATGCTTGGCCTGAGATTTGGGATGAGATCAAGCCTGTGTTCAAGAGCGCACTAGAATCCGGACAGGCGACAATGAAGCACGAAAATCAGCTCTTCATTAATCGGCATGGCTTCTTGGAGGAAGCTTTCTTTTCGTGGTCTATTGTTCCCTTGGTGGGCGGTGAAGGCGAAGTTGTTGGACTGTACAACCCATCTTTCGAAAATACCCGCAGACGAGTCAACGAGAGACGAATGCTGATGCTTCGCGAGATTGGCGAGAGGACAGCTGCAGCTACCACTGTTGCAGGTTTCTGGCCCCAGGTGCAAAAGGGACTGGAGTTCAACGAACATGATGTGCCCTTTGCCCTGATCTACTCGGCCCGAGAGGACACCGAGAGCGAGGTTTCGTCATTACATTCTGGCAGCTTGATTCATTCACCCCAATTGGTTCTTGAGGGAAGCCTTGGAGCGCCAGAGAATCATCAAGCCGCACTTCCACAGCTTGACATGCGACAATCTGAGGATGGCTTCGCCCCATACATGCGCCAATCAATGGCTGCAGGCGGTGTTCCAATTGTCCTTTCTGAAGAAAATGGTAACCTTCCTACGCATCTGATTGATGGTCTTCACTGGAGGGGCTTTGGCGATCCCTCAAAGACACTCGTCATTTTCCCTGTTATCCCGACCACTACAGGAGAATCTGTGATTGGATTCATCGTGATGGGTGTCAACCCTCGCCGACCCTATGATGACGATTATAAGCTGTTCATTCATCTGTTGTCCCGGCAGCTAGCTACCTCGATGGCTTCGGTGGTTTTGTTCGAGGAGGAAATCAAGCGTGGTCAAAGGGCTGCCCGCCTTGCTGCACTGGACCGTCAAGAACTCTCGATGCAACTTTACCTTCGTACACAAGAAGCCGTGGAAAGCGAGTACAGATTTACCCGGATGGCCGAGTTCGCTCCTGTCGGCATGTTCATTGCCAACTTCGCGGGCAAGATCAACTACTGCAACGACATGTGGTGGCAGATCTCGAGGCATTCCCGGTCCGAAGATTCTGTCGATACTTGGATGGATAGTGTTAGAGACGAGGATAGACCAGCATTGGAAGATGCGTGGGATAAACTCCTGAGAGAAAAGGTCACGATTTCGGTGGAATTCCGGTTCAAATGTTCTCAACAGAGCGATGGAAACACGATCGACACCTGGGTTCTCATGAGCGCTTACCCCGAACGGAACCAAGATGGCAATCTCAAGTTGATATTTGGTTGTATCACGGACATCTCTTCTCAGAAATGGGCCGAGAAGGTGCAGAATGAGCGACGTGAAGAGGCGGTCGAGATGAAGCGACAACAGGAGAACTTCATTGATATCACCAGTCACGAGATGCGAAACCCTCTATCGGCGATTCTACAATGTGCTGATCAGATCGCAAACAACATCACTGTATTCGATTCGCATACTGTCAAGGCTGATGTTGAGAACCTACTGGACGGATGCTTGGATGCTGCAAACACAATCAATTTATGTGCAAGTCATCAAAAGCGCATTGTGGATGATATTCTGACGTTGTCCAAACTGGACTCAAACCTCTTATCCGTTACACCCATCGATGAACAACCCGTTAGAGTTGTGCAGCGTGCCCTGAAGATGTTCGAATCAGAACTGGTCGCTCACGATATTGAGTTTGACTTCAACGTCGATAAGAGCTTCGAGCAGTATAGCATCAAATGGGTGAAGCTTGATCCTTCCAGACTGCGACAAGTCTTAATAAATTTGATGACAAATGCTATCAAGTTCACCCAAGGTCGTGAGAAACGAGCCATTACTGTCAGCCTCAGCGCTTCAAAGCATGTATCTGAAGTCACTAGGAAAGGTGTCTCATACTTTGATAGAGTTGACCATCAACGTACTGCTGTCATGGATATCAACAACACTGACGAGTGGGGTCATGGTGAGGAGATCAACATTCACTGCACAGTTGAGGATACTGGTCCTGGCTTAATCGAGGAGGAGATGACGCTTCTCTTCCAGCGATTCCAGCAGGCAACTCCACGAACACACGTTCAGTACGGCGGCTCTGGATTGGGTCTCTTCATTTCTCGCATCTTGACAGAAATGCAGGGTGGACAGATTGGTGTAACGTCCCGCCGTGGCATTGGTAGTAGTTTCAGCTTCTATATCAAGTGCCGACGCTCTTTGGCTCCTCCTCAGGATTACGAACAGATCACACCGTTCAAGATCGCTCGAAAGTCTCACGCCCCAGCCATTCCGCAGAAGCCTGAGCTTAATCGCCAACCATCTCGAACGACGACGACAACCGAAGACACAAATCAACTGTTTGATGTTTTGATTGTGGAAGACAATATTGTTAATCAAAAGGTTCTCCAACGACAACTACGAAACTGTGGCAACAACACGTTTGTTGCAAATCACGGCAAGGAAGCTCTACAGACTCTCGAGCGTTCAAGATTCTGGGCAGGAAAAGAGGCTGAAGGTGTCGACATCTCTGTCATCCTGATGGATTTGGAGATGCCTGTCATGGATGGAATGACCTGTGCTCGAAAGATTCGAGAACTAGAGCGAGAGGGAACCATCGTGCAACATATTCCCATCATTGCAGTTACGGCATATGCTCGACCGGAGCAAATCGAAAGCGCCAAGGCTGCAGGAATTGTAAGTTGACAGTGCTAGATTATGTTGACTCATTCGCTAATTATTCATTCCAGGACGATGTCATCTCCAAGCCGTTCCGAATTCCTGAGCTATTGCCCAAGATCGAAGAGCTGGTCGGCAAATACAAGAATCTTTCGGTGTCTGCTTGATGCTGCATAGGTTTTGTTGCGCCAGCTCATGCCTGATTCTGCATAGATGCGACGCCAGTTTATCCACCTGATGCTCTGTCAGAAAGACTATGCAGTTTCACCACCGTTTACGAATATAACGAAGTCACTCGACCTGGATGGTTAGACATGCCCTCACTTTCGACATAATTACTTCACCAACTTATTACAACCTATTATTCTCTATTCGGCTCCATGTAGCATTTGGTGTCATGACTTTTGGCGTTTTGGAAAGAGACAAGGCTGGTTTGCGGGATGGCGAGCCGGCAAGATCATTGGAATGTAGAACATGGAAGCGACTCTTTTGGATTTATGTGCGAACCTCTTTTATAGAGCATAGGGAGCAAAATTATGAGTGAGGAAAGGGTAGGATGAGCATTAACAAACATGATAGAGGATACACGACATGCTGGCGTTGTTGGGCTGATGGACGCCGTTTTGTGGATGGATATTTCTGGACAAAGATATGGGTTGTGTTAGTTATACCTGCCCTACATGATCAGGGTTGATCATGGTTGTGATGTGCATATATCTAGACAAGACCGTTTACTCGGCGGGTGTCAGCTCGACTTGTTTTGTGCTGTGGTAATCTTTGTGAATATGATAAAGCCTATGAAGTTGTAGCGTGAAAGGTCCACATAGAACCTGGTCGTCGTCTTCACGAAGTATGCATTCTACAGAGTGTGGTACTCATGCTTAGGGGTTACTCCACTGATATGGATGATGCCAGAGATGGTATGAATGAAAATCATGATTGATCACTTATGTCTAAGGCTGATATTCTAAATTCTCTAGATACTTTCAAGGCTCAGGTTACAAAAACATGACATTCACGTCAATGAATGGTACAGACAAGTTATTCAACACGCAGCAGTTGTATTATTAGGTATTAATTATCTCCATCCCGGGTATCAGACAAGAAAACAAGAAGCAACGACGCGGGCACCTCGACTCATCAAAGTCGAAACCCCATTCAACATTTTTTTTGGTGATTTTCGGACATCCATCAGATATCCATTTTCTTCAACATCCTCCTCTCCTCCATCATATTCAGTAACTTAGCTATGGAAATTGGTATCAGTGAAGCAGTCTCGACAGGGTATCTCAGTATCTTGTGAAGAAATGCAAGTCCATCCTTCCATTCCCAAACCCTCTCAATGCGCGTGTTGTATGGTGGTGGCAGGTTTTTGGTTCATTGTGAATTCAGTCGTAAATGTCAACGCTCAGCGCCGAGCAACCCTCTAGGCGGCGGCGGTGACAACGGGAGCGGGAGCAGCGTCCTTGGGCTTGTCCTCAGCCTCAGGCTCAACGGGCTTGGCAGGCTCCTCAATCTTGGGGGCCTCCTCGGTCTTGGGCTCGTCAGCCTTGGCCTCGGTGGGCTCCTCTTGGACGGTCTCCTCCTTGTTCTCCTCAGCGCGCTTCTCAGCAGGCTTGGGGGACTTGCCGCGGATGGTGTTGCGGAGCTTGGAGAAAGGAGACTCCTTCTTCTCACCCTCAGCAGGGGCGGGAGACTTGTCACGCTTGCCGAAAGCGAAAGGCAGAGAAGACTTGCGCTTCTCCTTGAGGTCCTTCTTGACCTCAGGGGCAGGAGAGGTGGCGGCAGCAGTCTCGGTGGTCTCAGTGGGGACAGTAGCGGGGTTAGAGACATCGACAGCGAGAGGAGTGGTGGCCTCAACAGGAGGGATCACGGGAGCAGTGGTCTCAGCCTCAGCCTCCTTGGTAGCCTCGGGCTCAGTGGGCTTGAGCTCAGGTGTCTTCTTCTCCTTCTTGGAGAAGACGTTACCGAAGAAGCTGTTGCGCTTGGTGGCGGTAGGCTTCTCCTTGGGGCTCTCGGCGGGCTTGTCCTCAGTAACAGCGGGGACGGCCTCAGGAGCAGTCTCCTCAGCGGGCTTAGCAGGCTCCTCAACGGCAGCGGGAGCAACCTCCTCGACAGGCTTGACGGGCTCCTCGATCTTGGGGGTCTCCTCAACAGCAGGGGTCTCGACAGCGACCTCATCGGCGGGCTTGGCCTCAGCCTCCTTCTTCACTTCCTCCTTCTTAGACTCCTCCTTCTTGCCGAAGCCGAAGAAAGAGGTTCGCTTGCGGCTAGCAGATCGGCGCTTGGGCTCCTCGGACTTGACATCCTTCTTGCGCTCGTCCTTGATCTCCTCCTCCTTGGGGGTCTCCTCAGTGACGGGAGCAGCATCCTCGGTAGCAGGGACAGCAGCAGCAGCCTCAGCGGGAGTCTCCTCCTTGGCGGCCTCAGCAGCCTTCTCCTCCTTCTTGACAGGAGCAGGCTTGAAGCTCTCGAGGGTGGCCTTGTAGGTCTCAGACTCGGTAACGGTGGTGGCAAGCTCCTTGGCCTCAGCAATCTTGAGCTTCAGCTGAGCAACCCAGTTGTCGCGCTCAGCGGCGCTGGAAGCCTTGAAAGTGTGCTTGTTGCCCTTGGAGGTGAGGTGGAACTTGTGAGAGCCGTCGATCTCGGGCTCAGTGGCATCAGCCTGCGGATGATTGGCGGTTAGCTTACTGTGACATGCCGGCAGTTGGCGCTGCATGAGAGTATTGTGGGTCCAGAACTTACCAGGCTGATGACGCTAGAGGGGTTCTTCTTGTCACCAACGAAGAGAAGACCCTTGCCAGTCTCGGAAGCCCAAGCAATGTTCGAGTGAGCAGTCTCCGTGGACTTCTCGCTCTTCAGGTAATGGGAGAGAGCCTTGGGCTCAACAGCCTCGGTGCCGAAGAAGAAGAACTCCTTGCTGGGGATAAGGTTCCTAAAGGGGTGTGTGGTTAGTGCACTGCTCCTTACGATTCGTGTCCTGCTGCATTTACAGGCGCAAGCTCCCGTACACTGATGGAACGGTAGAAAGCTTGGCGCTAGCAAGGTTGTGGCTCGCACATGTGATTCTACTTACTTGGGGAAGCTCAGACCTTGAGCCTTGTGGTTCAAGTGACCCTCCTCCACGGGCTTAACCTCCTCCTCCTTCTTCTCCTCAGCCTTGGCATCCTCCTCGGCAGGCTTGGTCTCCTCAGCGGGCTTCTCCTCCGTAGCGGGAGCGGTCTCGGCGGCGACAACGGGAGTCTCTTCGACAGGCTTTGTCTCGACGGGAGCCTCGACTGCCGGGGCAGAGATGCCAGCGATAGGGGCAGCGATCTCAGGCTTGGTCTCCTGAGGGACCTCGTTGTTCTTCTGTTCCTCGGCCATTTTGAAAGATTTTGGGGGGGTATCAAATGAGATTGGGTATCACAACAAACAAAGACGTTGGTATAAAAAAGGAAAGAAAAAAAGGAAGTTAATCCAGAAAAGGCGTTGGATTTCAGATGGAGCTGAAGAGCAGGTAGAGGGGAAAGAAGAAGGAGGGAAGAGAGATTCGCAGAAGACGGGGAGGCTTGGGGTACTTATTTGTTGGTGTCTTGCTGTGAAAAAGGGATTAGAAGAGTAAGGTATCCTATGCTATGGATGCCCAGCTTCGAATGGTACGGTACATTCAGACAGGGTCACACACAGTGAACAGGCCTAAAACTGAGGATGTGGGTCAGGGCGGGGCGTGTGCAGAAGTGGGCGGGAATTAGGGGAGTGAAGAGATTAAAGACCGGCCAGGGCAGTACGGAAGGGAAGCTAAAGGAGAGAGGGAGGAGTCATCAGTGTGAGTGAGTGATGGGCACCTCATCAGCAACCATCTTTTCAGTTGATCAGTGGCTATACCGTACAGTCTGTAGATGTTGATGCCGTACGAGGGTTCACTGGATAGTAGTATCTGCAGTGACAGTAACTGTATTGTTCTAGATCTGATTTACAGACATTCAAGTCTGATTATTCTATTCAAGCCACACAATCTCCTATTCTGTCACGATAACCCGCAATCTCTTAATATCTACGGAGTAGCACCTCGTCAGTAAACGATCCGCTTATTAGTCTATTCATTGGCCACTCTCGCGTCAACACACCGGCAATTACAGGGCACAGCCTGATATGTAGTTGATCGCATCTATCTATCCGTTTGATGAGGATTAACGTTAACATCCACCAGAGCTCATGCAATATGCAACATGATAGATGTCATCACTCATCTGGTTCCCCAGCAACTAATATCTCCTCAAAATTGCCTGTCTCTCGTTAACCAATTCTATCCTTCTTCTCAACAATCTCATTTTTCCCTCCTTGTTGTTGCTGGGTGATGCCCTGGTCTGTGCTGCATTAAACAAGTGGAACTAATATTGCAGATGCCCCATCGACCTGCCGGCTACCAGTGGATTGACTCTAGCGAATAACGCTAACCGCGGACAAAATTACAGTAGCATATTCAGGGCCCACGTACTCGACATGTACCTTCCCACTCCCAGATGGTACCTACCTTGCCTTAGGTTCCGTCTGAACTGGACGCACGCTCATCACAGGCGGGCAGGTGAAAGTAAATAGCACTTTCCATGCCAACCTTCAGCACATGGAGCAATGGAAGCAAGGGAAGGCACTCACCGTATTCTCCGTTTCGGCCGTATCCAATAATTCTACTCCTGTTGCTCATCATCTCTTTAATATTCTTCATATAAGCTTCATTTCACGCCATCAAACTATTGCTCATTCTACATGCCTCTGACATTTGAGGGGCAATCCCGGGAGCTTTCCGAGTGATTTCCAGTCCTCCGTTACGGACTGTATCATAATATCAGTTATTCTCGATAATGATACAGAACACACTTCACGCCTCGCCTCGTCACGCCTTGACTTTTTGGGCTGATGTATGTAAAGAGGCCTGTGCAACTCTCAGCACTATTCTTTACTAGGTGTAATCATCGACTCCATTCTTGGGCCTGGAAAAACATCCCTCGATTCGAAAACTACCTACCCATTGAATACGGTGTTTACTGCCCTGGAACTCTCTACCTGTCCCTCAACCACTATATGGAAAACCATGCCAAGGGTCCTCACCCCATCTCCGGCCCTGACTCAATCGTGCGGGTCTTGGTCATAGGGAAATGGAAGACAAATTTCGCTGTTGATTGCCCACTGATTTTCTCTTTTAGCTCGGATTCTGAGCAATAGCACGAACAGGGTCTCGAGACGGTGCTCAATATCGATCTTCAAACCGCCTTTTCCCCCAATCGCCTGTATCATCCATCTCCACTCTGCCGAGCAATTTGGTCTAGCACTTGACCTCCTTGTGCATCCCTAGGATCACGAAATGTACCAAAAGCCATGTGCATATCAATTTGCAACTCTGGGCTCATTGTCTGGGTGGCTGTTGTTCCCAGCCACGGCGTCCAGCGATCAATCGTGTGTACGGGTAATGTTCCTAATAATAAAAATAAAAATGCCCAGCTCCTGGGATCTTCCACAGAATCCAATCAACATCCAATGTCCTGCCGCCTCCTGTCTCCGGCCTTTTTAAGAGCCCCTTGACAACCTGGCATATAGCACTGGCTTCTTTCCGAATTATCCACCAAGTCCTTGTCCCTGGATTCTCGCTTGAGCCCAGTGCCGACGAGTGCGCCGTGCTCAGGCGGCCAAGATCAACGCAGTTGACATGGTCTCGGTGGATCTTCATAGAGCAGAACCCGAGATGATGTTGTTATGCCAGAACCAGAGCGTTTCGACAAGTGGCAATCTCGACATTTTACAGCCAGTCGTCAGTGCTCTCCTCAACGCAGAGGTCGTCTGCTAGACTGCATGACCCTGTCATTGGCTTCTTGGCTCTGTCGTGTCTCCTGGCACCACTTTGGCACTCAGATGAACCACGGCGCTACCCATAGCTGCCGTGAGGCTCTATTGTCTCATGTTTACTACAATGGATCTTGTGTCGTTGTCTTTCGAATTTGAGCATCGTCTCAGGTCAAAAAATATGTTTTACTCGATATTCCGACGCAATCACTGTTTGCTGCTCTCCTCATAGCCCACAGCTTATCCCTGTTCCGCCGTGGGATGCACCAAGCACCACCCAAGTGTCAGGTCATGTCATATCAGGTCACGCTTCAGCTACCCGCAGCAGCGTCATCCTCTGACAAACGCTTCCATCCAGTAACCTTATGTATCAACCCTCCAACATGTCGTGGCTACGGGAGCCGGTCATCATAGAAACTCTACCGGGCACACCATCACAACACACAACAGGTTTTTGTTTGGGATCTGGTGATTCCTTGCTCATCGATTTCTTCGACGTTACCTACCTTACCTAAGACCCAAAGTTCAAGGAGAGATTGGTCTGACCTGGTTTCAAGCCTAAACATGGCCCTATAGCGGCTGGGCGCTAGCGAAAACGTCGTATTAAACAGTATCCGCATTGTGCCCTAACTTGAGATGCTCTGGCGAATCAATCAATACGGTCTACTGAGGCAATGAACAGGTCCCCATAAAAGATACATTGCCATGCACGAAAGCTACCTTACTGGACTTGTGCACCAAGCGCATGCTTTCTGATTCCCAAGATAGTATCGGTACCTTACTTTGACCGCTAGACCCGCAATTCCTTGTCTCCACGACCCTTATTCGCCTGTTGTTAAGCTCACTCACTCTCGAGAATCACGATGAATAACGAGAATGCTACCCTGGAGATTGATCAACAGTCGAGCAAATGCAATCAAGAACCGGAGGTTGAACGGTCAACATATATCAAGTTGAATTATACATATATTTACCAAGTATTGGTTACACACGCACCTGTAGGCTGTTTCATTCCACATACTGAAAGTTATCTGCCCATTCACAGTGGATGCATAACAATGTCACAGTTCCGCGATGCCACATTCAGGCCTTGCATCATCAGCCACTCAGGATTCGTTTCCGGAATCGAGGGGCAGACCAGACTACTGATCAACCCCAGCCGTGGCTCACACGATCGCGCTCTCTCCCTCACCGTGCGCTCAGGTGACTCCCAGTTCAGCTACCGCCCTGACCAACTCAAGGTCAGTTTTGTGACAAGTTGGGAATAGTAGATCAGCCAGAGCCGCGATCACCAAGCCAGTTTGTGCCGTTTACCGCCCTGAAGCCTCCGATACCAGTGGACCGGCTTTTAGACTACAATACAGATGTTCATTCCTTCATTCCCTTGACTCAAGCATTCCGAGGCTAACCTACTGCTACTACTGAAAGCTAGAGACTTGGTTGGCAAGACACATACTATCTATCGTGGCGGATCAAAGCCGAGACAATAACAACTCTGTAGACAGAGGATACATGACCAGCGGCACGAGCGGTACAACCAATTCTCTGGATGTGCCAGAAGATTGTGTTCCAATCATATACAACGTTTGCTAACCCGAACCGGCTGATGGTGGCTTTGTTAGACGGGAGCCACCATAATGCCATCAAACTGAAGTTCATGTGCTTTATCAAAGAGCCTCGAACTCTGGTTCCGTTTCGGGCCCCTTCTTTTCGTTTGAGCTGGCTCCTGAGGCGTTATAATTTGACTGATATGATCTTCCCCGATCTCTCTCACCGTGTCGACTTGGCTCTGATCTACAGCCACCTCCTTTCGGAGAACCGTACACTAACCTCGCAAGAAGAACAAGAAGAGCAGGATGGTTCCAGTGCACAGCCGTGATCACCATGCATACATGGTCCGCGGCTGGTGGACAATGCAATCCAGGTCCACATGCCCATCAGCGCAACCACATTCAACCAGAGCCCTCCACATGCAGGATTTCGGGTTGTGGGACCAACCCTGCAGCCTCTTTGGCGTCTCCCAAGCATTGCGACGTGAAGATTACGGAGGATTTTTTGTTGAAGTCGATCGCCAGCGTCCAAGACGGACGGCTTCTCTCTTCAACAGTGTTGTATTGCCCCTTGGAACCCCGGAACAGAACCCGAAACAGCAGAGCGTTCGTTTCGGTTCAATGGCCATTGTGATGAAATTTCATCCGGGGCACACCGACATTCGATGTTGAGATTTCTCGGTTTTCATCCTTGATGAGCGAGGCTGATCCATTCTTCACTAGACCTGAGTCTGTTGAAGGGACCCTGTTCTATTCATATCGCGGCTTAAAATTCTGTCGCCTCTTTCAATACACTGCACCTGGGCTTACTCGTTTCACGCTTGATTGGTAGCCATTCACAATTGGACTCGTTTGTTGACAGCGAGGCTAGCCACTCCTATTCTGCTCCATCAAACTGCATCTTGAAGATCATGACTCATTCGCTATGAGGAATGGTTATCATTTTCCATCGCTGCACCATTATCAACAAAAGAACACTCGACCTCGGACCTACGTGTTTTAAAGAATGACTGCTCGCATATTTTCGCATATTGTCAAATAATAAGCTAGCAAGGCAGTTCCACAAGATGATCTTATTTGAGATTTCATGCGACCGTGCAATTTAACTTATCCTAGCGGTCCTTTGTTCTATGGTGATCCACCCTTCACTCTGTGGTTGCCGTGATTCGACCCGTGATTCTTCATGTGAGTGGGCTCTTGTAGAACCCGTTTTGACGTTTTGGTGGTCGATCTGATCAACCTCAAACGGTCGTTTCCCAATATGAACGATCATGTGCTGTTCACAAGCTTTTGTTCCATGCATTGGCCACAACGGTGCCCGTCCTATGTCTTGAACACCGCCACCGTTTCGAGTCAGATGATTTGGCGTCTTTTGGGTTCATTCCTCCTCATCTTGATCATCCCACTCGCACACTGGCGATCCCCGAGATACCGGTATCTTTTGCATGTTTCTGATATTAGTATCAATATCAGAGAGCGCGGACATCTCCTATGAGTTTCAGGCCTGGACCGCGGTTTTCTCTATAGGCTTTATGTTATAAGTATGGGGGTTCGCGAACAGAAGCTTTCGAATCAGTCCCATCGAAGACATAGTAGCTCGTACGATGATAGCTATCACCAGTTTCTGTGCCTCATTGTAAGGACGTCCAAGACAGATGGAACCGAAGTTCCCGTTTGCATGATCTCGTGCGCATGCGTGTCATGATCTTATACACAACCAACCTTGTTTAACCGCTTGTTCCGTTGTCTCCTCGAATTGGTCGAGTCAACAAGCTGTGTACCGTACATAAGTACATGATAGCATGAGTGCGTGGTATCTCATGCCGGTTGTCACACTTTTGTTGATCCTATTTGTCCTAGGGCAATGACGACTCATCTCGGAGACTCGAGCTTATCCTCGTCGAGAAACGAAACGAAACGAAACGTTGATGCAAGCCCCGCACCCTTGTAGATTCAGCCATGCCCATGTGCCATGCTTTCATGCCCACCACTTCTCTGATGGCACCCAAAACTCTCGGAACGACTTGTTTCTCATGTCTTTGTTTGGCTGGTGGTGTTTTAGACCCTTGTCCTGATCTTGGGCGCAAGCTAAAATACTTGGTTCAGGTTAGCCTGCTCAATGCTTGCCCTTGGCCCTATCAAGGCTATCATGCACCTGTGCCCGGCATGTGAGCGTGTACGTGATAAGGCAGAGATATTGTGAACCCAGGTCAACCAAGCCCGATTCGATAGAGATTCCATACCAAGCGGGGACTTCTGCATCTCGAATTTTCTTTCTTGTTGGCTGAGTTTTCTGATCTTGGATCAGACATGAGATCTTCGTATTGTTTCCCTGTTTCAACCTGGCACCCTCCTTGGTCTGTCAGCCCGTTTATCCATATCTTGTTTAACATGACTCTTGTCGCGTATACTGAGATGGCGGTGAGACTAAGCAAGAGTGCAATACGCTGTTGGAAACCATAGTTCGTTGCACCTTGTAGTTAACGTTGGGCGTAGAAGCCGATGCATAGTACATGTAATTGCCTCAGGAACGGTTTCATTGCGTCAGGATCGGATCTAAGCCTAGGTAGTCATCATGCAAACTCTATACAAGGTTGTCTCAACTTACAAGGTACCCGAGCGTCTTTAGGTCAGTTCTTCAGGTTGTTAGGGCTGTTGAACGGCCACCGAGGATCTTGGAGTTGATTGGAGCCTTCTTAGACGACTCCATATTGGTTCGGCCGTGTCAATGGATCTTTGATCGAACATTTGGATCTGCTTCGATGAATGTCTCCTCTAAAAAAGTGTTGCTTGGTATACCGCAACACTGTCTGTTCCGGCAGGCACCTGCCCCTGGTTCGACAAGTACTTGGTACAGTAGGTACATGTTTCGATCAGTGTCGATTTTGACCAAGATGTGTTCTGAAAAATGTCTGAAACCGACTGTCTATCGGTAGACGAAGAATGTTTCGTTTTATAAGGGTGTGTCCTCGTTTCTTGCAAGTGGTGCTTTATCTCCGGATATCGAAAGTTGGGCGTGTAAGTCAGGGGCTCTTGAACGGCGGAGAAGAAGGTGATTGATTGGAAGGAGTCTTAGAAACATTGTAAGGGCACTCTTTGATAAAGTCGAGTTCGTATTAAAGCTGGTTGGCGTTCGAAGTATGAGCTTTCGTGAATGCTTATGCAGTACAGTGGCTTTAACTTGACTTTGGCCCATTCGAAATGTGCTTAACGATCTGCAATAGGGTACTGGGACTTGTGATATTGTTGTAGGTTGATTCGGGAGCTGGCAGGGCCTTTGGGTTGTCTCGCCTTGGGGAGTTCTTCAACGTTTCAGGGGCCTCTTGAACATGTCTCCTTCAATTCATCCTAGAGACTTGTCACAAGCAGAGATGATTCAGCCCAATAAGACAAGGGAATGAACGATCTAGAAGGGATAACTTGATGATATGGTGTAATATCGTATGTGCGGGAGATCGAATCTTGGTGAGATCGATGTTTCACGATGACGGCGGACGACACGATTACTGCTCGAGGCAATGAGAGGCTCTGAACGAAGTTAGAAATGTTCTCGGTAGTCTTATTGAAAGGGTTGAAAGAGAAAGGAGAATCTTTTGGCAACTGGTGGATGTGTGAAGATCCCCTGTACCTGTCCTTAGCTTTCTGATCTCGACTCAGGTCTTGCAGTGCGTTTGTGAAGCCAAATACTATTCGCGAAGGAAGTAAAGAAAGTGAGGATGCTTTGAAGATGGTTTACTTGTGATGCTTCGATGTTCGTATGTTGCAAAGGGTTATGCGGTTGGATGCCGACCGAGAGCTCGAGTCTGGGAATTTACCACCTTTTCCACATTTGATGGAAAAGATGCATGTTGACAGGATGGTTAATGTTGCGATGCACTTTAAGATGGATGTATCTGTTGTTTGTTGCAGAACAGATGAATCTTTGGGTGTACAGTGAACAGTCAATGCAGGTCACCATGTTCGCAAGATGCAGAGTACAGCACATGAACCATCACCCAGTGCATTCTTTACATGCTTGTGCGTTTCTGGGGAACAGAAGCTCCTTATTAATATTTAGAGAGGACTATGGAGAGTACCGGACGCTAGAATATGATGCTGGGGCAGTGTTTGCTCCCTGCCGAGTCCCCTAAGCCATGCCCTGAGATTTAGGGGATGTATCACAGGCGATAGTTTTCCAGTGCCAGCACCACAGAACCACAGCTCACGCACATTATTGACTCTAGAGAAGCCGCGTATATAATTTATAGAGATGCATATACAATGTAATGCCAATAGTGGTCGAGTTACATAACACCCCTTGTTTTGTCTGATGTCTCATTTACACTTTGATATCCACTACAATTACTTGTTTACAGCTCTCTATTGTACTCTATTGTACTCTATTTCTTATTCAAGCCTGACACTTGGCTAGCAGTGCGAGTGCACTTGGGCGTTTGTATTCTTAGGCTCCCGTTCTAGGAGTTCGCTTCGTGGTGACGTGCCCGAGCCGCACTCCACAGCCTTTCTCCCGTCTTTCTGCGCCTCCACTCGCGTTGCAAACGCATCTTCACTAATGACCTAGTAGTTAATAAGTTGGCAGTGAATCACAGCCTCCTCATGCACTCGGAGTTGAGTATTTAATCCTCCCTCTCTCTTCTCTCTCTTCCTTTCTTGCTCCTATTTCTCTCTTCCTCTTTTCATCCACACCCTTCCTGCCTTTCTTCTTCCCTCACCCCAACATCTGCATTCCATCTTGGACTTCTCTTGGACTTTCCTTTCATCTTTCTTGACAAACTCGCTGTTCTTATACGGCAAAACCTTCAACCATGTCTAGACGCAAGTCAAAGGCTAGACCTTGGAATAAGAACAAACGAAATGTCCCTGGCAACATTCCTGTCAACTCGACTACTGACACAAACTCCGAATGGAACACAAACGCTGGGTGGACCCAGACCACCAAAGCCAACTATCAACATGTTCATGAACCTCTCATGGAGGTGACTCCTATCTGTAAGCCTGAGTATCGAGGACCCTATGGCCCCAAGGAGTCTCGAGAGCGCCTGGAGTCGAAAGGCTACCATCCCTTGATCACTAGCATGACCAAGGAAGAGGTCGAGGCCTCTTACGGCGAGAAACGTAAGAAAAGTCTTGATAAGCCAAGCTACTCGAAATATATCCATGGGAAGAAAGAACAAGGCTTCGAGGGTCGTTACACTTCCGACAAGAATCTGCTCATCAAGGCAACCGAGTCCTCCTTTGAGAGCAAGGATGAGACCACCGAACTCATCAAGGAAGTTTTCAATGGGACACACCCCCAAGGTCTTCTGATTGCACAGCATCTTGCTTCGCTCGGCATCAAGCAGCTTGAGAAGCTTGCTCTCACTCGCCCACGAGAATGGGATACCCTTTCCAAGGGTATGGCCATTTGGGATTTCACTACCAACAAGTTCCATGGCGAACCCTCAGGCCACGTTTTCTTGTGTCTTTTCCCAAAGATTTCTCAGGGAGCTTTCAGCAAGTCGCCTGCTCATGAGGAATCGCGAGAACAGGAAGTACTTGCTCGGGAGAATATCATCAGGATGATCAGGTGGATTTTCGCCCAATGTGGTCCTACAGAGCTACCCGCTTGGCATCTGGAAGAAAAAATCAAGATGCAAACCGAGGGGCCGAGTCCTGAAGTCCTGCGCTGTCTCACCACAGGCACAAAGCCACCACCGGTTGTGGTCAACATGACTAGATCCATCCAAGACATCAGTGAACTCCGCCACATGATGGGAGATCATGTCGACCAACCCGAGCATCTCGACTATTACATTTCCAAGCAAGTCGCACTGAAGAACATGTTCGGCCTACGTAAGTTTCATTGCATTCTACATCTGTGCTTTCACTCACAGATCATAGTCACAAACATCTTCAACAGAAGAACAAACATTCGCGTTCTTCACTTTCAGAAAACGCCGCTTCTTGACCGACGACTGGTGGCCTGCATCTTGCGTGCTTGTCCCCATATCACCACACTTGGCATCTATCAATGCCCCCTGATTCACTTCGGGGATGTCATCTGCCTTTTGGATCTTATCCATGAGGTCAATTTGGACCGCGGTAGACAGAGCTTGCCACTGGTAGAAGCCTTGGACTTTTACCCTCTATACCATGCTGGCATGCCCTTCAAGGTACCCCCTAGCGAAAGACTCTCCAAGGCGGAGATGGACCGTGGTATGGAGCCCGAGACAAGGGAATTCCATGGATACGGCATCACTTGGACCTACATGCCCAACGAGGTCCTTCAGCGAGGCGTTTTTGCAATCCTCTTGAAAGCTGTTCTAAAGGCTCGCAAGATGGGCATCCGTCTTCTGATGGATAAAGACGCAGCCTTCATGAGGTACCTCTCGGATGTTCCCATGCTACCCGGTATCATTTTCCAATTCCTAGACGGGTTGTACCGCTATCTTGATCTCAAAGAGGCTGGATCCGAAGACAACACCGCCATGAAAAGAGCGAAGTACGACATGATCCTGGCCGTACGCACCGGCCTACAGTCACCGTATCGCAACACTTTCGACCCCTCCGACGACGTTACCCGACAGGTCACCTCACTCTTTTGCCGTTCATGTGGGTATGAAATGTTGGATATTTTCTTCTGCAACCAGCAAATGCGATTGCCAGCTCATCGACGAACCTGCGCTGGATGTGACTTCCAGGCTTGCCTCGACAAACAGAGCGATCATCTAAAGCATCATGAGTTAAAATTGATGGGACTTTTCTTAGAGACGGACTGGGACCCCAAGGGTTTCAACATTGATGCTCCGGTCCATGACGATGGCCAAGAACTTCTTTCTTTGCACACCCGAGAAACCACACGCGACCCGCCCCCTCCGAGGGTGCACCTCCCAAATGGTGAATTCGACCAGCCGTCGTACCAAGAGCAACTTGTCTGCGAGCATAAGCAAAACAACGACTGTCTCCAGGGCCTGCCCACTCTTCAGGGCTTGCTCCTACAAAAGAACGCCGAGAAGGAGAAGGCAAAAAACCGGGCTCTCCACATTGATGCATGCCGAGCCCTGTCGATCATCATGAATCTCCGCGACCTCGAGCTTGCTGAGCACGAGAACAATCACGGTGTCGGTGGTCATTTTTGTGAAGGGCAGGGCTGGCGTCCTCTCTCCAGAGGCTTCAGAATGAAAGGTGTAAGCCACACATTCGAGTCAGCCACGAAGGCGGCCGAAGACCTCAAGATGAGGGCCGACATTGCAGAAGGTCGACGATCGGAGCAGGAGGCTGCGGGATTTTGGTGATCCTTGGAAAAACACATCTAGGTCAGCCCTTGAACTTGGGAATTCGCGGAACGTTTCGTTGTTTTTTATTTGTTGGTACATGGCACAATGCAGAACCCAGGATGCGGTTTTGCTTACGATACTAAAGAACTTGTTGATAGCTACACGGAGGACAGAACGAGAGCTTTTGAGAGAAAATGGACGCTGGCTATAATGGGAGAACGGGCACAGCTTGGGATAGTTGGTGCTAAGATAGCTATTTTCTGATCCGTAGCCTCAATCGAGTTCATAGAGCAAGCCGAAGACTTGTGAAATGTCGTGAAGACTCTAATGCACCATGGCGAGAATTCATTATAATGAGTCTGCAAAGACACAATGATCTTATCATCAGGATATGAGGTTTATGGAGTAGATAGAGGTTAAAGGTAGAAAGTAGGAAAAGTGGATTCTGGGGTGATTTAACCACACGTGATTCGACGATTCGGCACTTGAAGCAAACCTCAACTGTTCAAGGATAGAACCTCTCTCTGACCAGAGTCGTACACCTCAGAATCAACCACGATGGCTTCATTTCTTCGTGCTTTCTCGCTATCAGCGAGATCATTGACTCCGAGCAATGCCATGGGCGCTTTTGCGACCCGCGCCAACTGGTCGCTCTTTGCCAGCCCCTCCACGACGCCCATCTCTCGAGCACTCGGAAATGGGTTGATGCAACAGACTCGCGGCATGAAGGTTCACAGTTCGGTCAAGAAGCGATGCGAGCACTGCAAGGTGAGCGAGGGCAGTCAGAAACTTCGGCTGCTGGTCAAGGGCGAGACTCGGGCAGAACTGATACTCGATAGGTTGTCCGACGGAAAGCCGGCAAACGACATAACGGATACTTGTATATCATCTGCAAGGCGAACCCTCGACACAAACAACGACAAGGTTAATTCCGAATGACGAGATACGGGAGGATATGTACGATATGTGTGAACGAACTGCGGATCGGACATTTCTAGATGGGGCGACGAGAAACATTATGCGTGATAGAACGAACGAAATACTGGGCGATTCTTTCAGTGAGAAGCCTTGAATAAACTTTCTATGGAACTTGAGAAAAAGACGACAGCGTTGGGACTGAAACTGTGCGTCATGTATAACTACACCTACATTTACAACTGCTGCGCTACATACCATCGATATACCTCTCCATGCCTTCCCATTCCGTCTTGCCAATTGAGAGGAGATATCGAACGTGTGACTTGGAGAGAATATTCAGTTAGTGGATCGAGACGCGAGTGACGGAAACATACAGCGTCTGTTACGTTGCGACGCCGTTCAAATTCGTCGCGGGCGTATTTTCGAGACTCGGCTCTTGTTGTAGGATCAGCAATCTTTTTTGTCCCGCGGAGGATAGTGCGGTAGAAAGCCAAGACTCGACCTCTTTGAACGAACTAGATTCGATTCTATCAATATTTGACATCATCAACATGTATAAAGCCTGAGGCTGTAGATCATACCTGGTCGAGACTTAATGTTGGCTTGAGACGAGAACCGCCTGGTCGGGTGGCATAGCCACGGCTGAATGTCAGCAAACGAATGCTGAGGGCCATTCCACCAACTTCTACCTCGTTAAATGAGGAACAATGAATTTTGACATTCCTTGAAGTTGAGATTTTGATGATGAAAAGCTTCAAACGGTGCTTTCTCATCATGTCGGACGAACCTCGGCTATCTAGAGGGTCTGGTCTTTCCGGTTCATTCACCCCTTCATGTTGTTAGTGGAAGGTGTGACCAGGTTTGACAGACATAGGTATCTAATATTCTTATTGGATTTTACCATTTCAATATCTCCATCCTTACTTCTTCATCAATGTTCTTTGGCATCGAAACCTCACATTAAAAATATGACAGATACGAATGGCACAAAAGAACCAAAGAGATTGGTTGGAAGAAGACGTCAACGACCGGAAAACCCAATTGAGACGGCCAATAAGATCGAAGACGATGAATTTCTTACACAATATGTGAAGCCAAGGTTAGTTTACGTGTTTAAGTATCAGACAAGTCCAGTTAAACAATAGAGTTGTATGTAGTGGTGAGGGTTGGTCAGAATGGAAACACCCACAAGATGAAGCAACCTATACCATGAGCCTCATGCGTCCTACTTGCATGAGCGATGAAGACCTGGAGGCATGCTACAACTTGGTAGAAGAAACAAGCGGCGAAGATTATCGCAGTTCGTCTCTCGGCTGGCATCCGGCCACCAAGAAGAAGGAGATGCGGTCTCCAGATCTGCGATACATCCTTGTGAAAGACAGCGACGACAACATAAAAGGCTTCACATCTTTTATGCCCACATTTGAGAACCACGAGCCGGTGGTCTACTGCTATGAGATACATCTGAAGCCAGAGCTACAAGGGTGAGTCAGCCAAGATGACCGTTCCTGAGACCATCCGCATTTCAATGGGGATTCGTCGATCGTACAGGAGTGTACCACATATAGACCACGGATGACCGTTGAGCTAACAGATATCCAATAAAGAACAGGTCTCGGCAAGAAGCTTATGGGCTACTTCATGGACGTCGCAGAGAACATACCTTCGGTTGAAAAGGCCATGCTCACGTGTTTTATAAGCAACAAATCTGCCCTCAAGTTCTACGAGAAGCTAGGATTCTCAAAAGACGATTACTCACCGAGGGAGCGAAAACTACGAGGAGGAAAGGTGGTGATACCAGATTATGTGATACTCAGTCGACAAACAAACTCTAAAAGAGTCGAGGCTTCGCGGGCGCACGAGCCTGGACCTCGATGAAAAACGCTATAGATACAAACCCGGATTTTATCTCGTTGCGATTGAAAGGCAGCTCGTATTACTATGTGCGGCCACGGCCGCTTGGTGTAGAAACGGATTGCAGTCGCGTTTCCTTTGCACCACTACTATACAATCATATTTGGGGTTACTAATTGCAACGATAATTCGACATAAAAATCCAACTTGGGCATTTTTTGTTGAGTTACCTATTCAGGTCCGCTTCAGCCGCAAATACCAAGCATTGCATTGCCCCATCTTCAATGAAACACTATCACTCTGGATGACCTAGCTTTTAAAGGGATGTCTGTCTTTTCTAAGAATATCATCGTGGAATGATCTTCGCAGTGGTGGCCGAACTTTGTCTAGTCTGACCTATTGAAGCCCAAGCTGAGATTTGTCCTCAACACCCTTTTGACTCCGACTGGATACGACTGCGAGAGCTACCCAATTCAATACTGATGGCCTCATGATAAGCGGTTCAACTAACCAGCTTGGGCGGCATTAATCTTCTGTAGCTGCAAAGATCCCTTCACCAAGGCTGACACGCTGGGGGCCTAGGACCTTTTTGCTAGCACACTCCACTACCACACTACAACCATGTCAGCCCTAGGACGCTAATCAGGAGCCGTGGCTGAACTACCTTTTCTAGCACGCAGCTCTACCGTGAAGCACCGCACTTGGAAGTATTCTGCTTGCTGGGTTTGTGCAGAGTTGTACAAGTTGCACAGCCAGCTTGTGAGACATAGCGTTGGTGCTAATGCGGTAGCTGCATGCAACCAAGGGATGATTTTCCATCATGTTTCTAAGCCAGAGGCGTCAGACGGCTTGTAGCTAGGCTCCGCTGTTGACCCTGTCCTGTCATTGAAATGAAGGGCGACCTAGCTAACGTGGAGGCTTAGAGCTGAAGCTCTGAGAGGAGAGAGCTTGCTTGTGATACGCCAGCCTGAAACGAAAGGCGAGTACCGTGCCGAGACTGTTGATTGTCCGTAGGTGTTTCTCTCATAAGGCGCCGTTACCGTCCGCCTGGCCACTGTTCCTCTCTCTCTTCCTCCCTTCAACCCACACTCCTTCTTCTTGGCTCAAATTCTGTTCAACTTATAATCAATTACTTGGTCAATTGACTCACGCATCGTTCCACAATGGCCCAGCAGTACTCTCAGGGACCCAATGTCCAGAACCAGGAATGGCAGAACAACCTCTGCAATTGCTCGCCCTGCGACTCTTGTCTGCTCGGCACTTTCTGCCCCTGTATCCGTATGTGATCTCTGGGACGAACTGATTACAATTGAAAGGCTAACAGTTCTCGTCATAGTCTTGGGTAAAACCGCCGATCGTATGAGAGACCCTACTATGCAAACTGCCGATACCTGCAACAGCGATGCTCTCATCTTTTGCGCAATCAACTGCGTAACTGGCTGCGGTTGGATGTAAGACGCATACCAATGTCTTGTTCAAGCTGTCAACTAACACGCGACTTCTAGTTACTCCATGATGAAGCGTGGTGAAATCCGTGAGCGATTCGGCATCAAGGGTAGTGGCATGAACGATTGCTGCGTCAGTTACTGGTGTCTCTGCTGTGCTCTTATCCAGCAGGACAACGAAGTCAAGTCTCGCCTCTCTCAGGGACCTATCACCCAGGGCTACCAAGCTCAGAAGGAGGGTATGCACATGCCGACTTCTCCTCCTGCACAGCAGCAGCAGCAGCAACAACAGCAGCAGTATCAACAGCAGCAGTATCAACAGCAGCAGTATCAGGATCAGAAGCCCAACCCCCAGCAGCAAGCCCCTCAGCCCGATTATCAGCTTCCTCAGCACGGTTACCAGTCTCCTCAGCCTCAGGGATCCTATCCTCCACCTCAGCAGACTTACAACCCTCAGCAGCCCCAGTATTAAGCCATCCGGCCAGGGGAGTGTACAGCAAGATGGAGCCTTATACCGATATGACACCACAAAAAGAAAGAGATACATGTGAAGGGAGAGATCAGAGAAATGCCTGGCATGTGAATTTACTTTGAGCGCGGACGGGTACGCGCCAACGGATTGTACCTATATACCCAGTGACTAAGACGGTCATTTCTTATTTTTCCATCATTTATTTCGATGTACTATTTGCTTCAATGAATAATCTACTGTTCAACCTTCTGTTGTATATAAAAGCGTCACACTTCTTCTCTCATTCTCTTTTAAATTACCTAGTTCAGCGAAGGAATACGAAATGGAGAATCAGCAGACAATATTAATGAAACTCTAAAAAAAAATTAAAAAAAAACTTCACGCTTCAGCAAGTTCAGCTCAAGAGACCCTTGCAAGCTATCATTTATGATTCCACTTGACATTCCCCTTCGAGGCATGGTTTTGTTTCGCTATGTCATGATGCTTTCCAGGATTACAGTCTGTGCACTTTAATATATCGGCGATTTCCATATTACGGAGCTATTCTGATGCTCAGAATCACAATTTGTGAGGTCAGAGTACAGATTATCAGACATAAGCCATACTTGAAAACTTGTTGGTCCACTCGCTCAATGATATATACAGTTACGGACTGGTGCTGACGTTAATTTCCCCTTCTGATCCTCGCAAGACATATCACAACTCGGACAGACCGGCAGCACTTCAGTATCCTGGGGGTATCAATAAAATTTCATTCATGACCTCTGTCCCTGTCGTTTTTTCAGACTGACAGCAAAACGCCCACGCCGCACCTCTATAGTGGTTGGACAAACGCCTATTCAGATCTACGGTTATAGAGGCTCTTTACCCTCAACCCAAATGAAAAACCTTCTGAATCTTGTGCCCAAATCCCCAATGCAATTGAATGCATGTAAACAAACCAACCCATTTTCCCGTATGCCTTTCCATCATCATCCCATCATTTTTTCCCCAAGCATATATCATTACGCATAAAGCTTCTTCTCATAAGACTCCATGTTGACGTTGCCCTCCAACTGGGCGCTGGCTGTTCGGAGCTCGAAGCGCAACTCACCAGCCTCGGCACTCTCGTGCATAGTCTTAAGGCTGGTCATACCACTGTCCTGGAGAGAGTGCTTGAGGCCAGCAGCGAGGTAGGGAACAAACTTGTTGATTGAACTATTACATGTTAGCACTCACGGTTCAATTCGGCTTCGGGTCATGACTTACCCTCGGTGAGCAACAGCGCCAGAGACACCCTGAGCAACCAGAACGCTGTCACCCTCAGAGAAGTAACGGGCGGTACCAGCATTGCTCTTCTGACTATCCTTGCCACCGTTGCCGGCCTTCTTATCCTGCATGGCATCGATACTTCCCATGCCTCGGTAAGCCTTAACAAGCTTACCCTCACGGGAGACGAAAGAAGTGCCGGGAGACTCAGTGGTACCAGCCAAGAGACCACCCATCATGATGGTAGAAGCACCCAGAGCAAGACCCTTAACGATGTGGCCAACGTTCTGGATACCGCCATCGGCAATACAAGGAACACCGAAGCGGGCAGCGAAGCGGCTGACGCTGTAGACGGCAGCAGCCTGGGGACGGCCGACAGCCATAACCTCCTGGGTGATACAGGCAGAACCACTGCCCATACCGATTCGGAGACCGTCAACACCAGCGGCGATCAGAGAAGCAGCCTGCTCTCGGGTCACGACGTTTCCGCCAATGACATCGACACCAGGGAACTCACTCTTCACCCACTTGATCATCTCAATCTGGTACATGCTGTTACCCTGAGAGCTGTCAAGGATAACGATGTCAAGGCCGGCGTCAACCAGCTTCTTGAGGCGAAGCTTGTCCTCGGGGCGAGTGCCAATGGCAGCAGCGCAGAGGAGCTGCTTGCTGTCGGGAAGCTTGGAGGCATTGGGGAAGTGCTGGTTCTTGGTCAGATCGGAGCGAGAGATCATAGAGACCAGGTTGAAGTCCTTGTCGACAATAGGCAGCTTGCCCTTCTTGGACTTGGAAAGACTCTTATTGGCTTCGAGGAGAGTGACGTGCTCGGGAGCAGTGACAAGGTCAGTAACCATGACATTGGAAACGGGCTGGTCAAGGTCCTCCTCGAACTGGAGGTCTCGGTTGGTAACAATACCAAGCAGCTTGGAACCAAGCTTGCCGTCGGCTAAATTTTTCTTGTCAGCCCAATATTCTTGTGCGGGGCAATGTGACCATAGTAGAAAAAACAACGAGTTGTGGTGATTGATCATAGTAAATAAAGTCCCCATGACTGTAGTCTATACGGTGGAACGAAAGTTATATAAAAGGGTGTATAATCATGCAATCTTGTGAGAGGTGTGTATGTTGTATAGCACTTACCAGTAACTGGGAAACCACCGAAACCCCACTTCTCCTTCAGAGCTTTGGCCTCACCAACAGTGGTGTTGCGATCAATGACGATGGGGTCAAGGATGAAACCGTTTTCGTATCGCTTAACCTTGCGGACCATATCGGCCTGAGCCTCAGGAGAGCAGTTGTGGTGAATAACACCGAGACCACCCTGGAGAGCCATGTGGATAGCCATCTCGTGCTCTGTGACAGTGTCCATGGGAGACGAGACGAAGGGAGTCTTGAGAGTGATGCGCTTGGTGATGGGCGCATCAAGAGTGACCTCAGAGGCAGCGAAGCCAATGTAGCCGGGGAGAAGCAGGAAGTCATTGTAGGTAAGACCACCGTGCTTGGTCGTGTCCATAAGCTCGTGGATGTCGAGGCCATCCTTCTGCTTGTACTCCTTCAGCACCTCAAGGGCTGTGGTGTAATCAAGGACTGAGGCAGACATGACTGGCAGATAAAAGAGTAAATGACGAGAAGAATGGAAATGTGAGGTCGAAGGCGAGTTGAGTCGATGAGCAAGCTCTGGCCTTTAGTATCGACTGCTAAGATTGATAGAACGCTTCTTCCCGAAAGAAAGAAAAGAGAAAAGAATTGATGGTGCTGCCTCGAAAACTTTTTTATGGGACGCGGGACCCTGCAAGGTGAGGGGCGGCTTGGAGGGGCAGTTGCTTCTCTGAATGGATGAACTTGGTCAAGGCTCTCGAGGCAGGTGGAGCCAGCCTCTTTTTTCTTCGAAGCTTTGCTAGTTTTTCTTGCCGAAATCGCTAAAATTAATAAGCTCTTTATCACCACTTTGGAATTGGCCTACCCTGCAGTTGTGATGTTGAAGTCGGATCATGAATGAACTGGTGTGACTCATATTGAATAAGGTAAATGCTCATGAATTTGGCAGGTTGTATTACAGCCTTGAATATGGAGTTGTCAATCGTGACAAACCCTTCATAAGCTGAAGTAGACCTTGACTACCACGTCATTACTCCATCGAGTTTCAAGACCCAATTCCTTCCAGGCTTTTCCGATGTCGATCTCAAGTACGCGAGTATCTACATTAGAAATGGCCACAGTATGCAAGGGTATCACCTTTTCTTGAATCGTGATCAGGAAATCCCCTTCAATCGTCAAAGAAGGGAGCGTAGAGACATAGATCCCTAAAGGTTGTCAGATTTCAGCCATCATGAAGAAACAGTAATACTTCTTACCTAGGATGCCGAATGCTTTAACTCGCGTATCAACCAAAGCACGGCCATTCTCTCGCTCTTGAACATCACTCATCAGGATCGCTGCTGCACCAGCCATTTTGCCCAACAGGCCCAAATTCGAGACCACAACATTGCCATGCTTCTTGCTGGATAGGCGAGTTAGAGGAAAGGCGGAGAGGATCTCATACCCTCTGACAGGCAATGAGATCGTGAATAGTGACTCTGGGCTTTCGACCTTGGCAGGCTGCGAAACCTTGCCCGTCGTATGAGCACGAACCACATATTGAAGATCGTGAATCACACCGGGGAACGCTGAAAGGGAAACCAATTCAGTCAATGGCCGAGAGGATATATTGAAAATGGCCATAATGGGGCTTCCGGCATGTGAGGCTCCTGAATCATGATTAGTTCACACTACTCGCTCCCCCTTCAAATATTTCTCACCATGATAGCTTCCAACCTTGAGGAGTAAATCATCGTCGTATCCGATATATGGGTCAACAGCCTTCCCCAAAGAGCTTGGCCGGAATATGACAGTCTTACCCCGCGGGGTACGGCCACTCATTTGTTCAATAAGATTCATGTCATGCTCACCAGGAACATCAGTGATATAGATCGGACCTCCGCTCACACATCTGGCCGCAGCATGGAATCCGGAATACTCATGAACTGTTTGGAACATATCCCAGTCCGGAAGCACATTTAGATGCTGCATGAAAATAGCATTGTGCGCATTTGTCCACACGTGCCAAGGATGTGAAGCAGGAATCTCAGGGAAGAAGTCGTCAGAGTTTCGCACAAGAATAGTAGGCCGATTTGTTGGCATCTGCGAGTGGAAGAGTGCCTCCGGGAACTGCGACATACAGGATATTGCCTTGGCACTAAAGTGACGAAGCGTCGAGATGGTCCACGCATCGAGGTACGTATTGATCAGGTCTCGGCGAGGGGAAGCTTCAATCCATGTATCGATCATAAACTGCGCGTCTGTCTTGACAGCATCGATACCGGCATCCGAAAGGAACCGATAAAAGTCATCATAGAATCGATTCACATCTTCTTGTGCGACCACCGTCATCTTCCCACCCAAAGGAAGATTTCGACGGTCAGCATCTTCCCGTGTCACTTCGATAGTCTTGTATGTCTTGGCAAGCTTGCCGTCAGGGGCAATACCACCCCAGTAACCCAGGAGGGCATGCCAAACAGCAATGTGTTGAATATGTGGATGGTTCTGTCGAATATGAGATATAGTGGATTTCAAGCCTTTGGGGAATGCCTTGGGCTCTGCTTCAAAGTCGTTCCAGCCGTATTGAAACTGGCTGGGGCCGCGATAATCGATCGACTGCCAGTTATCATCGATGATAAGACTCGATACCTGGATATTGTGCTCAGAAAGCTTATCAAGAGCATCAAATATTTTCTGGTCTGTCAGTCGTTGCCCTAGAGCGTTCCATGTACCTGTAAATCATTAGTTCGTGGTCTTTCAAATTCGACTATACTCAAGAACACACAGAAACCGAGTCCATCAAACCAGTATTCGAGCCACTCTGGTTTAAAGTCATTCTCCAATGCGGATAACTCCTGGGACCACTCATCACTGGCCTTCTTCGTTCCCGCAACCATATCTCGAGCATGATACATCACAGATGCAATGGCGCAGCCGAAGTCATCTCCAACCGAAACAAGAATAGCAGCCTTTTCTTCAGAGAGACCGTCATTTCGGACCTGAATTGTCAGAAGTTGCAGGAAACTGTATCATACACACTTACGTGAACCTGAAGCTTCCCATTGGGCTCGCTTCGAAATACTGGCAAGACATGACTGACACCGCCGACGGCAAGGAACACGAGGTTTTGACCTTGGGGGCTTAAGAAGCAACAGAGAATGGCATCTTTATCGAGGTTAAAGTGAGAGCGTCCATGGCGAGGTGCAAGCCAGGGTGACCATAGTCGGACAAGCGAAAACCATCTATGTCCCGTCAGATAAGATGGTCGCCAATGGACTTTCGGTATGTCGTCGTGTTACTCAGCTGAACTTACCTGACAAATGAGCCCCAGGGAGTACCAACAGTGATATCTTTGTACGTAGATTCATCGCCATTGGAAGGTGGAATGACTGCTTCAAGTGACCAAAGTGAAGTTCTAGGTGATTGACTCAAGCGTGACTTGACACTCCAGTCTTGAGAGTTAAGATCAGGGATTAAATCAGAGAGATCACCAGACGAAATACTGTCAGAGGCATTGGCAATCAAGCCATCATTGAGACCCTGTTCATCGCGGATCCATCTCCAGTCTGCATCAGGACTATGTCGAAACTTGAGAGTGAACTGCACAGATGCTGTAAACGAGAAGGAAGACGTGAAATAGAAACGTGACATAGAATCATCCAATACTTGGAGAGTTTGAGGACCCCCAATCTCTTTGATAGAGGCTACCTCCAAGTCCTTCCAATCTGAGCCGTCTACTGAGTGCCATACTGAGACTTCCCATGGCTCATTGGCTCGGAGCTTGGGTATCTCAAGAACGGCCGTCAAGGTGACCTCTGTGCCCTGGATAGGTGTTACTTTCCCGAGAGGCGGGAAGCTTTGCAAAACGACCTTCATATCTTCAGCAACAGGCGGCGGTGAAGGCTTCTGTTTGGCGATGTAAATTGCCTGGAAGACATCGCCAAAGTTGTAATTGTCAGAAGGCATCGCAGCGAAATAAGAACAAGAGGAGCAGACTTTTGAAATAGGTTTATTTAGCCAGTTGACTGAAAAGGTCAGACTTCTCATGTATGAAGCTTAGTGAATTTTTCAAACGTGAAAATCAATTTGCAACAGGCATAAAATCACATCAACAAGTTTGATGTTGTGTGACGATGTTCGTGTTTACAAGGCATTGTCATAGAAGCTCACGAAAACGGGCAGGCGGTGGATTATAGTGGAGTTTCTGTGGAGTTGGAAGTGGTTAGTAATGAGCGCCTCTCATTGGCTCCGGTATTGCTTTCGAGTCGTTCTGATTCGGGGACGGCCGGAATGACTAAGCCTTCCGCCTAATTGCTCAGGCTGCAAATTATCTCAGTAAAGCTTCTAGCCGAGCCAGATCGAAAGATTTCATCAAACCACTCAATTCAGCGTCGACCCTCCAAACCTGCGTCATGGCGTCCCGGAGACTGGCTTTGAACCTCTCGCGAGGTCTGCGAAACCGTGCTGGTCTTTCGGCCGCCGCTCCTTTCACACGAGGCTTTGCCACTCCCTCTACCGTCGGCAAGACTCAGACTTCAACTCTTAAGAATGGATTGACTGTGAGCATCATCATCCGAGGTCAATTGGCCTCGACAACCACTTCGGAATGCCTTCCTGACACGCCCTTCCAATAGGTCGCTACCGAGCACTCGCCCTTCGCGCAAACGTCGACCGTCGGTGTCTGGATCGATGCCGGTTCCCGGGCTGAGACTGACGAGACCAACGGTACCGCCCACTTCCTTGAGCATCTCGCTTTCAAGGTTCGACAACCCATCAATTGGCCGAGACCAATCGTTAACAATGCATTCAGGGTACCGCCAAGCGAACTCAGCAGCAATTGGAGTTGGAGATTGAGAACATGGGTGGTCACCTGAACGCCTACACTTCGGTCAGTCGGATGAAGGGATATGGGATTGTCTGATGCTAACGGCCGTCCAGCGCGAGAACACCGTCTACTTCGCCAAGGCTTTCAACTCTGATGTTCCCCAGTGTGTCGATATTCTCTCCGATATTCTCCAGAACTCCAAGCTCGAGGAGTCTGCCATCGAGCGTGAGCGCGACGTTATTCTCCGAGAGTCCGAGGAGGTTGAGAAGCAGGTCGAGGAGGTTGTTTTCGACCACCTCCACGCTACCGCTTTCCAGCACCAGCCCCTTGGCCGCACCATCCTTGGCCCTCGACAGAACATCCGCGATATCACCCGAAAAGAGCTCACCGATTACATCAAGAACAACTACACTGCTGACCGTATGGTTCTCGTTGGTGCCGGTGGCATCCCTCACGAGCAGCTCGTCGAGCTCGCTGAGAAGCACTTCTCCGGTCTCCCCTCAAGCGCCCCCCAGACCAGCGCCTACCTTGCCTCCAAGCAGAAGGCTGACTTCATGGGCTCTGATGTCCGTGTCCGAGATGATGCCATGCCTACTGCTAACATCGCTCTCGCCGTTGAGGGTGTGAGCTGGAACTCCGAGGACTACTTCACTGCCCTCGTTGCTCAGGCTATCGTCGGCAACTACGACAAGGCTGTTGGCCAGGCTCCCCACCAGGGCAGCAAGCTCAGCGGCTGGGTCCACAAGCACGATCTTGCCAACAGCTTCATGAGCTTCTCCACCAGCTACAACGACACTGGGTAGGTCTTGATGTCATACTTTGAATTTTGAGGTAACTAACTTGTCATAGTCTCTGGGGTATCTACCTTGTTTCTGACAAGCCTGACCGAGTTGACGACCTCGTCCACTTCGCTATCCGTGAGTGGATGCGCCTCTGCACCAACGTTAGCGCCGCCGAGACCGAGCGTGCCAAGGCTCAGCTCAAGGCCTCCATCCTCCTGTCCCTCGACGGCACCACAGCCGTTGCTGAGGACATCGGCCGACAGCTCGTTACCACTGGTCGCCGCATGGCTCCTAATGAGATTGAGCGAAAGATTGATGCTATCACCGAGAAGGATATCATGGACTTCGCCAACCGAAAACTTTGGGATCGGGATATTGCTGTTAGCGCTGTGGGAACTATCGAGGGTCTCTTCGACTACCAGAGACTTCGCAACACCATGAAGCCCAAGTTTTAAGGTAGAGAGGGCCGATGGGATTGTGAAAATCGAAATAAGGGTATAGAGTGTATGAGATACCGTTTACAGGCCTAGTGTACCATAAGATTTCCTCTGTTCATGCTAGGTAACACGGAGTTGTGATAATTATGCCTTGACTGTACTGCCATCTGTAGCTAATTGCAATTTTGTCATATCGCGTCTGTGATCCTTTTGATGTAGCGTCTATGATCCCCCCTTGGATTAAAATGTAATGTGTCATGATCATTGATTAGATGAGAAGATGGACACCTAGCCCTCCTCTGCCATCTCCTCGTCGACATCCTCGCCAAACATGTCCTCGACTGTCCCGCCCTCAACTCCATCTCCGCCGATATCTTCAGGTTCAGGGCCCTCAATACCCTCCATGGCATCACCCCCTTGATCCTCTTCCTCATCGTCCTCTTCATCCCATACATCCTTCAGACCCCAACTTGTGCCACTCAGTACGAATCGTTCACTTGGTAGTCGCACACCCCATTCACTGGGCACAATTTTAGGCAGTGCCACCTTATTGCGTTCGCGCGCAAGTTCTTGCATGTAGTCTTTACTAATCCCCCCACCTGCGTTTCCTCCGCGGAACTGGTAGCTGAGTCGCGCAGCAATGGCGAGCTTAACGGCATTGGCTGTGACTGCAGCGTCGCCTGCAGGTGCTGAGATTGCTCCAGCGTTTGCTGATGGCTTAGAGCCGGCCTGTGTGACATATGGGTCGCCGGAAAGATGTAGCGCATCGCTAAGAACAGATGAGGTATGGCGGTAGGCGAAATCGAGAAGGAGAAGGGGAACGCGTGGCTCGTAAGCAGTGACGCCTTGCGACGTCAGTAGGAGCTCGATAAGCCTCGAGTCGCGCGGTCGAGGAGCGGTTGTTGATGGCGCAGGAGGAGGTGCGTTCTGTGAGGCCGCAGCAGCGGGTTGACTAGAAGAGGTCGCAGTGGTCTGTGTGTTTGGTACTGTTTGCGAAGTGCCTGCTGATGAGGCGGGAACCCCGTTTGTTTGTGGTTGACTTGATGACATCTTGATCGATGCTGCAATGCTTCGGATTGGGTATCTCGGATGCGACTGTTCGTGAAAGGCTTAAGGCGATGGCACGCGAAGCATTCAAGTTCGTGTTTGGCAAGGCTGAGAGACGCCTGTACAATGGATGAGTCGAGTTAACACAATGTAATTGATGTATGTGAGTAAGAGTACTTTTATAGTTCGGAAAAGTGTAGTATAAGTTAAAGTGCTAAGCCGAGAGCTTATTGACCCTCGAATTATTTCCTTTGCGACGGTGAAGTCGCATGCCGTGTGCTGTAGCCGGAGGTTTTGATAATCCGAGACGTGATGTGGTGACGATAAGTGCACAGACCACACCTTAATCCTTGTGCACTCATTGCGATGAAGAGCTTTCCTAAAGATCAAAGTCACAAGAGTGAAAAGGTCAAAACAAAAATATAATAACTATAGATGGCAGAGGATGGCGAGTGAAGTCTATTTAATATTAAGTATGGCGTGAGAATGGCAGGAGCACATTCTTGACCCTCTCTTTCCTCATTATCATATGTATCTAGGTAGGTAGCCAGGGCGCTGGCGGAAGCCGGATTTCAAGCAAGGAAAGAATGATGGAGGGGCAATGAGTAAAGAGTGCCCCACCATTTGTCGCCGATGCAGGAGGACTCATAGTCATCACCTCAACTTTTTCTCAGGCGATCGATCTTGACTCATTAACAACTCGATTTAACAACCTCCATGCTAAGCTTTCGACTATAATCGACACCAATTGAATTCATCTCGCTCATTAAAAACATGGAGACGACTCTACCGCTGCCGTTCTTGGTGAGCATTGCCAGCCCCAATGACCAGGCTACCAAGGATGGCCTCACTCGTCAAGAGATTGCTCTCCTGGGAGCTCCTTTCTATGAGACAGCTTCTAAGGACTGGGGTCGCCCCAGTGCCGGTACCAATGTTCACATGGACGCTACAAGTTTAAGTAACCCTGACGATGTGATTGTATTGCTTGATGGCGGGGTTCGAACGGTTTTTGTTCCCTCAGAGTCCTACTCAGAGTATACAGAATATGGCGCAAGAGTCATTCCCACTGTTTCTTCCCTTAACATTTCCTCAGCTTCCGCAAATGGTCTACTGGTGAAGGATTTCGACATTTCATCGAGCGACGTCGACAAGTTTGTTGAGGAGGCATCAGCCCAGAAGATCAAGAGCCTTTACATTAAGCCAGCTCCCAAGACCGATATCGAGAAGTTTATCGAAATTGCCAAGAAGGCCAATGCCATCCCCATTATCCCTTCTACGGGATTGACGACCGACAAGAACGATTCGAGCCGACTATTGTTATCTAAGATTATTGCATCATATTGGAAATCCGATCGACCTGACGGCCTTATTCCTACCGTGGTAACCGATGATGCCGGTATCGCGTTGGGTCTCGCATATACCAGCGAGGAGAGTATTATGGAGGCTCTTAGAACACAAACTGGAGTTTACCAGAGTCGCAAACGTGGTCTTTGGGTGAAGGGACTTACTTCTGGTGACACTCAGGAACTGTTGCGAATTGGTCTCGACTGTGACAACGACACTCTCAAATTTGTGGTCAATCAGAAGGGTCGCTTCTGCCACCTGCAGCAGTTTGGTTGCTTTGGAGACCTCAACGGCATCTCGGCACTTGAACAGACACTCAAGTCTCGCAAGGAGTCTGCTCCTGAGGGTTCTTACACAGCCCGCTTATTCTCCGATGAGAAGCTCCTGCGAGCAAAGATCATGGAGGAGGCAGAGGAGCTCTGTGATGGAAAGACCAAGGAGAACATCGCTTTTGAAGCTGCTGATTTGATCTACTTTGCTTTGACTAAGGCTGTTGGCGCAGGTGTTAGCCTCGCAGACATTGAGGCTAACCTGGATGTCAAGAGCTTGAAGGTCAAGAGAAGAACCGGTAATGCCAAGGGCAAGTGGGCTGAGAAGGAGGGTATCAAGTCCGATGTAGCCCCTGTGAAGCCTTCACAGCCAGCAGTCGAGAAGCCAGCTGATGGACGTATTGCTATGGAGCGAGTTGATGCCTCAAAGATCTCTGAGGCCGATCTCGTAGAGAAGCTCAAGAGACCTTCTCAGAAATCCCCTGACGCCATCTTGAAGATTATCCAGCCCATCATCGAGGAGGTACGAACTGGTGGCGACAAGGCTGTTCTGTCTTACACCCACAAGTTTGAGAAGGCCACTTCATTGACATCGCCTGTGCTGAAGGCTCCCTTCCCCAAGGAGCTTATGGATATCTCGCCTGAGACTATTGAAGCTATTGATGTCTCTTTTGAGAATATCCGAAAGTTCCACTCTGCACAGCAGGAGGAGAAGTCTCTCCAAGTTGAGACTATGCCTGGCATTGTCTGCAGCCGCTTCTCGAGACCTATTGAGAGAGTCGGTCTTTACATCCCTGGTGGAACCGCTGTTCTTCCTAGTACTGCTCTGATGCTTGGAGTTCCAGCTATGGTGGCTGGTTGCCAGAAGATTGTATTCGCCTCACCTCCCAGATCTGATGGCCGCATTACCCCTGAGATTGTCTACGTCGCTCACAAGGTTGGCGCTGAGAGCATTGTCCTGGCTGGTGGTGCTCAGGCTGTTGCCGCCTTGGCTTATGGTACGGAGAGCGTCACCAAGGTTGACAAGATTCTTGGACCTGGTAACCAATTTGTGACTGCGGCCAAGATGCACGTCAGCAACGACACCAATGCTGGCTGCGGTATTGATATGCCTGCTGGACCCTCTGAGGTTCTTGTTGTTGCTGACAAGGATGCCAACCCTGCTTTTGTTGCCTCCGATCTTCTTTCTCAAGCCGAGCATGGTGTTGACAGTCAGGTTATTCTGCTTGCTGTTGACCTCAGCGAGCAGGAGCTCCAGGCTATCGAGGATGAAGTCCACAAACAAGCCCTTGCCCTTCCTCGTGTCGATATCGTCCGAGGATCTATCGCTCACTCTGTCACTGTCCAGGTCAAGGACATTGAAGAGGCCATGTGCATTAGCAACGAGTATGCCCCTGAGCATCTCATCCTTCAAATCAAGGATGCTGAGAAGGCTGTTGATCAAGTCATGAACGCTGGCAGTGTGTTTGTTGGTCACTGGACTCCTGAGAGTGTTGGCGACTACTCTGCTGGTGTCAACCACTCTTTGCGTAAGTTCTCCGTTTAGTTTGTGACATGATGATTGGTGCTAACAACTTTCACAGCCACTTATGGTTTTGCTAAGCAATACTCTGGTGTTAACCTAGGCTCGTTCCAGAAGCACATTACCAGCTCCAACCTCACTGCTGAAGGTCTAAAGAATGTTGGTACTGCCGTTATGCAACTGGCCAAGGTCGAGGAGCTTGAGGCTCACAGAAGGGCTGTGGAGATCCGACTTAACTATCTGAAGCAACAACAGTAGACTGGGACAGACAAAAATGGCAGAAAGGCGTATGTAGAGAACAAATGGGTTTCTTTTGGGATAGGGGCGCGGACTTGGGAATAGATGTTGTTTCAATATGCACAAGCTTGACAGACAACGGGGGCTTAAGATTAAAATGCAGCTTGCTCAAGTAGTATTTTTTAGCCTGACAAACAACCAAAACTTTTGTCTGTACAGAATGCCATGATGTAATCACTACAAGTACAATGAAATGCTCAACGCCGCGCTATGCCTCAATATGTAAAAACCCTTTCTTCTTCCGTTCACCTTTATCCGTCTCCTCTTGTTCGTTCATCTGAAACTCCCGCCATCCATGTCTATGAAAACCAACCCATAAGCACTCTAAAAAAGAAACGCCTTTGAATTCGATACACCTTACTGCCTGTTGGGAGCAGTAGCAACAGCCTCGGTGGCCTGTTCGTGATACTTAGCTTTCCTTCACTTCACTTCATTTCTCAACGGTGAGATGACCAACCCCTGTTATGTGTTGGGCGAGAACGTCCTCCTCAAGGTGACCTTTACGCTTTTGCCCAATAGGAGCAGCGTCAGGGGTGCCCTCGCCCTCGTGTTCATCTTGGCGGCCTTCCTCGCCATCTTCGTAAATCTCATCTTCATCGTCCTCGTCGTAAGCTTCTTTCAAGTCGCGTGTCATAGACGCCTTGAGTCGCTCTTCGTCAACGCT